AAATACATGAGTGCTATATCGCAAAATATAGCCTATTAACTCGCACGCAATATGAATTCAGGGAAACATATAGGAACCAGTGATCTTCTAGAAGGCTTTTTTGACTATGTAAATGAAAACAAGGGCGCCGGTAATTATGTTCTAGCTTTATTTATAGATTTTTACCAGGGATTTTGATACAATAAATAATGTTGTATTGATAGATAAACTATATAATATTGAAATTTAAGGAAATACGCGTGATTTATGCCGAAGTTATCGTACTAATCAGTTTCAAATAGTACGTTTTGGCTCAATATATAGCAAGGCAATTAAGGTAAAACAAGGAGTACCACGAGGTACAGTCCTCGGTCCACTACTTTTTAATTTATATGAAAACGAGGTAGCACAGGTTAGGTTAAAAAGTAAGCTCCATCAATCTGCAGATGACACGGTAATTGTATACGCACATAGAAATTACGGAGTACCTGCAATGACGATACAAGATTATCTACATGTCATTATTCAACGGTAGCGTAAAAACCAAATAATCGTAAACGTTCCTAAAAAGCAAGTAATATAGTTTAGAGATCCGAGAAAAGCAATTGTAAATGAATTTCCAATAAAAATGCATGATCAAAACTGCAACAACTACTTGTACATCCCGCTAAAATCCGCTGATAATGTCAAATACCTGGGTATGCACATAGACAAACATGTTAAATGGGATATTAACATAGACCAGGTTTGTAAGACATCAAGGGTATGAATCGCACATATGTACCATATCTAAGACCTAGTACCGCGATCCATACTTAAAATGATATACAATGCACTGGAGAAATCCGCACTTCAATATGGATCATAACAGTTTACGTGGACTGTGCCAAATATTTGCAACTAAGGATGGAATCGATTCAAAAAACGATAGTTAGGAATAACGGTTACCGAAGTGATGAAACTGATCTCAGATTATATGCATACAGAAGTTAAAATGCTACGTTTCAAAGATGAAATGAAGTATGATAATATTATAAAACATTTTTGCAACAACGAACATAGGCGGGAAAATTAAAAAAGAAAGAACATTAAGGCTAAAAGTTTTAGTTGAACCATTTATGAGAACAAACTATGGAGAGGCAACAAGGAAATATTACGTACCTAAGCGTCATAATACATTACCGGACGAGCTACATAAAATAAAATCCAATAGAATAAGAAACTAGCCAAAAAGATTGATAATTGAACGGGGAAAAAAGACTCATTAAAATATAAAAGGAATAAATAATGGTGTATCCCTAAAAACGCGTAATACCAAAAAGTTTTCTTTTCTCTTCAATTATTAGAATTACGTTGTACGTCACGAATTCAAGCAGCCTTCACGATATATAAATACCAATTCAATATGAATGGACGAGTTCTACAAACTTACTCACCAATTCAAAGGAATTATTATCAGCCCTGAAACGAGGTGGTACTGCAATAATTTATACTTACATTTGAACGCCTTGTTGTTTTTAGTTATCTGTGCAATAACAAGCAGGGGCTCCTGTCGCGTCCCACTCGCAATCCACCATTGGCTTATGTGAACTTTATATTGTATTGTTTTCAAAAGAAAGTAAATAAAGATGGTTTTTGTATTGTATTGTGTATATATAATTTATACTGTGTACGCAAAAGTGCCAGGTTCTATCTTTGCACATATATACATATATTTCTTCCTCAAATTCTTTAGCACCATATATCGCAAAATCAAAATAGCTCATAAGCTGTGATCTAATTTCGCATTACAGAAATTTGTAAACAACTTCCAATTTATCATTTGTTTTGTAATCAACTATTAAAATATAGAGGCCATTCTAGATCATGCGATATCTAAAATAGTCAAAGACAAGTTTGAAAAGCGCCCCATAAGCTCCAGCACGTTCCAGCCGACGGATCAAAGACAGTTCACAAGCTTTCTAGAACGCCCGGAGCCTCTTCGCGTCGCGCCCGCTCGGTGGCACATGCCGTTTACATGACCGGATATTGAATGCGGCAACTGGATTCAATACGACTAAGTCGCATTCGTGTAAACGTGGCTTATGTTCTTTTTCGACATGTATGGTGTATGTAACGATAGCGGTGGTGAACGATGGACGTTTTTGTTGGAAGATGGCGGTCGTCTTTCTCCATGTATGATTTGGTTATACCGGTGGTCCTGTGGTATAAGCGTTTTGTTGGAAAGACGGCAGTCACCTACGTCATCGGACGCAAAATCATACCAGCCACACCGAATCATATCGGCAAGCAAAGTGGCTGCCAGTATAGACAGACCCGGAGCCATAGCGGTGCCGGTATCTCCAGTTATGCAGAACGCCAAACCAAACTAGCTGCATCCATAACACAAAGAAATTATGTTGGTGTCATACCAGAACTGTACAAGCAGCAGGTTTTTTTCTTGTACGTTTTGCCAATAGGGACAGCCAAAGAACCACCAGTAACTATCCTAAGCATTCAGGAAGTATGCCGTAATTTTTTTAGACTTTCTGGGCGGCCCCTTTTTAATAAAATTCTTTCTCGCAAAGGGACGAACTTTCTTCGAACATTAAATTTCGTGCCCCTATTAATCCCTGAACAAGCACACTGGGTTCAGGACATTCATAAGCCACCATGGAAGCTACCATTACTATACGTCCACATGAACATTCCAGGCATGGAAACAAAAGCATCGGTAAATACACACGTTGCAAGGACATTGACCCTAGCACATCTACAGGAAAAATACGACGACAACATCCACGTGTATACCGACGGATCAACCAAGGATCAAGGATCAACATCAGCATTTGTGGTACTCCAGTTCAACCATTCGTCATCCTTTCCGTTGTCACATCATACTTCTTCAACTACCGCAGAATTGCATGCTTTACTCGCGGCTGCAATATACATCAAAAATAGCTCGACAGCGAATTCCTGGGTTATATGTACGGACTCCAAGCCAGCACTACAATCCATTAATACCCTGAACACTCGCAACGAAAATATGGCTCTTGTGTACCGAATTTGTGAAGAACTTGGGGAAGCAATAAGGGTTGGACATACGGTACATCTTCATTGGGTTCCTGGACATAGCGGTATTTTAGGAAACACCCAAGCTGACCAAGTGGCTACGGATGCATATACAAGCAACAACGTCCAGCTCACACCTTTTACAAAAAGCGATGCCAAGCGGTACATTCGTTGTCTGAGAAACATGATGTCCCCTGACACGTGGCTCAAGAGCATCTCGGAACAGAGCCTACTCCTTCTAATTGATCCAGACCTTCGGTGCCCAGTCCATAATTACTTGAGCAGACTTATTGAAACACTAATTCATCGCCTACGACTAAATGTTGCGTACACCGGCAAATTTCTTTACCGAATTCAACAGGTGGAAACACCGAGCTGCAGGTGTGGCCACCCCGTGGAAGACGTCGAGCACATAGTAATGGACTGTCCCAGATACGGCCAGTGGCGAACTCGATTACGAGTGGGACTAAGCATACTCGACAATCGCTCTTTTTCTTTGGCCAAAGTTTTAGGACCTTGGCCCGATTTAAAAAGCCAGAAGAGGGCATCAACTTTACTACGTGATTTTTTACTGACACAAAGATGGTTTACAGATATTAGGTATCATACGAAGGTCAAAACACCCACAACGCGCCCTTAAAAGATAAGTGCGTTTTTTTTTTATAGTAAGTTTATTACTATGTTACAGTAATCTATTGTACATATGTACAAATGTATTTATTGCGTAATCGCTTCTCTCACCGTGTATTTTGTTTGTTCGTGTACGGCAACTGAGAGTATTATTCATGGTGTTATCATTTTATATTTGGATGTTATACATCATTCATACTGTACATTACTTGATCTGAAGTAGCTGGTCCCAGGATATGGGACCAAACTCTTCAACTCATCAAATAAACATTGAATTGAATTGAAATCACCATTTCCCCGTTAATAAGAAATTACATGTCCACCCTCTATCACAAAAACGACTGTCATCCTTGGCCCCTCAAAGTTCAACTTTCATATTGCATTGCCTTCCTCTCTGCAAGAAAAAAACAAAATGAAGGGGAAGAAACAATTTTCTGGCTAGGGACTTTTGATGCGTCGTAAGAACAAGGAAAATGTACAATACTGGAGGTTTCCAAACACACTCTTCGTGGCATCCTTCTCTGACAGTTGGCTCGTATTTGTGAAAAGCGAAAATTGTCGCCGATTTGCAAAGCTCCGAGGCACAGAATGTCAAGTTTTGATGTGTGGACCCTTTCCAAACGTTTCTGAAACTGATTGCCCGGTTAAAAGGGCTTAGCCAACACAATCCAATCCGACGATCATGATCAATGGCACGCCATAAAGTTCTAAACTTTGGCGGCAGACGACGAGGAAGCAGTCTCAAATGCCAGGTGCAGTCGTTACGGAGTTGATGACGCTCATTTTACGAGCACCCTTGTCAACAACATTTGCGTATTTTAGATCGGAGCGCCCAATAAAAACTTTATTCCTAGTGCTTCCAAGTTTACGCTCAGACAGCTTGCAACTGCTGACATCTGAAAAGGATTAATAGCATCGAACAAGCAACAGGTCTGGGACTCTTCTTCCAGCAAACTCCAGTTTGTTAAGTCTAAGCGCGTCCTACGTACGTTTAAACACGGTAAATTAAAGGCACCTGTGCAATTCTCTGCTGTTTCTGTTTTTTTTTTTTTGCGACCCATCTCTGCTCGCACGTTTCTTTTAAACGACACGTCAGATCTCTTTCGTTTGCACTTGGTACAGTAGTTTTGTGGTGTCGGCTAAGAACTCTTGCCTTGCGCCGTTTTCTTGTCTGTAAGATGGTCTCCAAAAAGACTCAGCAAATGCTCAGGGTGGGGCTGTCTTCGTTCCGCCGTGACAGAGATTCGCTGCGCTCTTGTCGTCCTCGAGAGCCCTCTTGCCGCCTCATTGGCCCGAGCACCGCGGCAACACTTGAGAAAGGGGGACTGGCTCGTCGGCCTTTAGTAGGGCCGATGGATGGCCAACTTGGGGATGAATTCGACGAGCAGCATCTGGTTTCAGAACCAGGGGTAAGGGACCCTCATAATTTGCAAACTTAACTATTTTGTTTGTAAAAAAAATGGTTAGACAACAAGTCAAACTGTGAGCATCAGCAAAATTACATTGTTAATTTTGCGTTGCAAGACAAGCCACTCTTCGTAAGTTGTGTACATTGATTGCAGAAACATTTTATCACGAAAATGTCAGCAATGGCTGTCGGCTACAGTTTGGCTTATTAAGAAAGCCAATAGCCGACACTGACCAATAGCTAACACAGTAAGAATGTGTAATGGCTAACAAAGTAAGAATGTGTAAGCTTCACACCATTTCATTCGTAATAATAAGATTGATGTAATTGCCGTTAGACGAGAAGTATAAAATGATGATTTGATTCAAACTAACATTGCTTGAACATGGTTCTAAACCTGAGACTGGGGCAGAAAAGAGAACACAACATAAGGTAGTAAAAGAGGAGCCAACGTCTCAAATTGAGACGTTTCCTTCTCTTTTACCACCTTCTGCTGTGTTCTCTTTTCTGCCCCAGTCTCAGGTTTAGAACCATGTTCAACTTACACCAGCACGCCTGCACTCTGACTATTTTAACATTGCTTGCTTTGTGTCGGATCAAAAGCCACTCTTGGAAGTAGATGCAAGTTAATTAAGGAAACATTTGGTCTAGAAAACGGCAACAACGGCTGCCGTTTCCTTGACCATCGCCACATTTGGCACCGGGCAATAGCGACATTCAGTGATCTCGTCAACTTTGCTGCCAGCCTGTGCAACAAAAGTCTGAGAGAACGGAAGAAGTGTCTCGACGTCTTCATTTTCTCATTTATAAGATTTTTCTTTGAGCACTGCAGAAGTTGTGCTAGCCTCGCAGCCGTAGCACGAACAAGCTGACGCAGAGTAGTTTCAATAACTTGAGTCTATTTTCGATCGGAGGGTACTTGCGTATTCCATCATGCTGTTGGAATCGCACCACTTCTTTCCAAGCTTCCAATGTAGACCGACCTGAAACAAAGCAACACGCTCGTTAACCGTTGAATAATCTGCAAGAGTTGGAGCAACAGTCCTGTGCCCCCATGGGAGGGTTTACGCCTAGCCTAAATAAATATGGCAGAAGCTCTTTTGGTGGAACTTTCACGGGCGGTTCTTTATAGATATGCAACTGAAACTTCACCGTTTCTTCAAAGTGGTATTCTAGTCATTCGTTGCGTGGAATTCCCATCAAGAGGAAGAGGCTAGTGCGATGCCTCGGATTTCAGTATGAAGAGATTGTACTGTAGCATGAATCGCCTTGATATGATGATGACATTACATACTGAGAATACATCATATCATCATATGATATTACGACTCTACAACCTGCTATCAGGTTGTGCACTTGTCGAAGGTGTATAGTGTGGATGCAAGACCGTCTGCGGCACTTACTTGCTTCAAAGAAGCAAGCGTTTGCACAAATTTCTCTGCGTTTCTGAAAATCGGAGCAGTGAGCAGATGATGTTGCTGCTGTCATGACGAAACAGATGCAGTCTAGTGGACACCCCCCCCCCCTTTGAATATTAAAAGGTGGAAGAAACCACAATGACAGAAAAATGTTCACACTGTGGTGTCTCTAGTTATAGGTCGGCATTTTCATGAACGAAACCTGCACACTTACTTTCTCAACAAGAACTTGGAGGCTAATTGTTTGTACAAACCCAACGAGGCAAAGATCTGATTTAGAAAAAGAAGCGAAACCGCCAGAATGTTGAACGTGATGTTCACATGGTCAGAACCTTGGCATAGATCACATTTGCTGCCCTCCCTCTAAATTAGAGTGACTAACTGTATGTGCTTGATGTGCAAAGCAGGCACGTCGAAGATGCGCGAGCTTTTCTGTTAAAAGTCTACCCATTATCGAGTAAAGCCAGCACGAAGAAAGTGTGACTGGGTTGACTACAGTGCAATCCACTTATAACGATAATAAAAAAAAACCAAAATTCATTCGTCATAACATATCGTTGTATCTGGACTAAAAGCTGGGCGTTTCTAGTCTTGAAACTCTAGAAACTGACCGTTATAAGCAGTACATCGAGATATCTGGTATCGTTAGGAGTGGATTTCACTGTACTACACAGATTCTCCTACCAATTGCCTTTGTTTGCTGAACAGGAATTTGATGTTCGTTTAATTACAGAGCCCATTTTTGCAGCCGAACTCTTAGGAGAAAACCGTAGTAAAGAGCAGTCATGAAAAAGAGTCACAAAGGACTGTTACGTCACCTGACGCCATGACATGGTGATATCATGACGGCGTCGTTTCGTCACAGCTCGTAGCATTTTGTGCCCCCCCCCCCCCCCCCCCAGTCCTTGTCGGCATGATCAAGCAATTCATTGTTTCACCTCAACTGCAGACACATCCGACACTTTGGGCTGATGAGATCTAGCAGGCAGTGTCAGACGCGCACCATCATGGTGCTTATCTTGTTTATGCATGCGTTCTATCATCGCTCGACAAATTGCAAACAGACTGGTTCATCTTGTGGTTTTGAAGCTGCTCGATTGGTCCCAACTACCTTGTAGCCGCTTTCAATTGGATGCTGCCAGAAAGTTTCACTCCCGTAACTGAAGTATTTTTTTCTGCAATAAATTACTTCCGACATGCAGCTGCCACCTGAAGTGTGGGTTTCTGAACTTTCAAACACAATTATCTCAATTTCACTTTTCAGCATCAAATCTTGTTTCAGGAAAGCTACCATTTGATAATGAAATGATGTGTGGATCGAATTTTTGAAGTTTCTGTACTGAAACTTTTGTAAGGAACATACCTGGCTATGAGATTACTTTCTGCATTCTCATGGTCCTTTGTTATAAAAAAGCTGCAGTAACTTAAACCTAATGCTGGCAAATAATTTTTTAATTTTCACATTTCTACTTTTTAATAGAAATGGTGGTCTGTCATTTTTTACGTAGCCGTGTTACAGAGATGTTATACTGCATGCTTGTTCAAAAGAACTGGCCATTATCATTACCTTTTCTAAAAGAGTTTTTCTGGGGGGGGGGGAGGGGGGTGCATGTTCATTTGATGTGCATATATGTAACTTTTTAAAGGATATACTTATACTTTTAAAATTTTTCATGTCATCCTCTTTACCAACTATCAATATGCCCTGCAAATTTTATACGAAAAAGGCTAACGGTTAAAAAGTTTGCTTTCCTGAGTAGTACTGTCTCTTAAAAAAACACTAAACCTATGAAAAAAACTTCTATATTTTTTGGAAGGACAGGACGCCTCAAAATAAATACATGTTTCAAAATAAATGCATATAAAAAAATGTTTTTGTTTTTGTTTTGTGCAGGGTGATTTAAGGAGACGCCAGGCTCTTTAAATCAGCCATAAAATTCGGTTTCTTAACCTATCACGCTGCGACTTTGTGCAGCGTTGCCCACAGATGATGCATTTTTTTTTTGTAAAATTTGCAAAGACCGAATTTACCTGAAAAAAAAGTAAAGAAAGAAAAAGGCTTAGCTCCGATGGAAATGCAGCGAAGCCACCGGTCTTCAAACAACACGGCGCCGTTTCGCACGGGATACAAGAGATGGCGCAACGGACGAGCATACGGCGCCGAGAGCCGGCGTCTTTAGCAGACAATCTTTTCGACTCAAAAGTGGCGCGCGTTCCGCTGTCAGCGACAGTCGCAGAAACAAAAACAGGCGCGGTAACAACAAAGAACTGCAGTTTCTCGTCGTGGTGCCCAGTCAGGCGACACGATCGCCTTTTGCACCAAGGTACCATTTCGAGGAGTGTGTACCCCTTGAAAGAAAAAATAAACTCATTGATTGATTGAAAGTCGCCGGCTCTCAGCGTCGTATGCTCGTTTGTTGGCGGTAGTTGGCGTCGCGACCGCTTGCGCCATCTCTTGTTTCCCGTGCGAAACGGCGCCATGTTGTTTGAAGACCGGTGGCTTCGCTGCATTTCCATAGGAGCTAAGCCTTTTTCTTTCTTTACTTTTTTCTCAGGTAAGTTCGCTCTTTGCAAATTTTACCAAAAAAATGCACCATCTGTGGGCAACGCTGCACAAAGTCGTAGCGTGATAGGTTAAGAAACCGAATTTTCTGGCTGATTTAAAGAGCCTGGGGTCTCCTTGAATCACCCTGTTGTATTGATGATGCTGAACAAATTTTTCGATTTCCGGGCAAAACCGAAACCGTACTCTAGGCCAGGTTTGTATCAAACTATTTATTGTCCATTCCAACTCAAGAAAGCTTTTGCTAATCTGGGGATAATGAAAATACATAAAAATTCCAAATATAGACTTGCCATGAAATATAAACAAGAATATACCAAGAGTAAAAGATTTTTATTTGACTTGGCTTCCGTCAGAAAAAAACCGCAAACGCATACCCTTCGTCACCCTGACCATTGGATATTAGATAGACACATCGCGTTCTGACTACGGCCTTCAGACGATTAGAAGAGCCCTGCCTCCGTTGCTCAACACTTTCTCGCATTCCAATGTTGATATAGTATTTTTAACCCCACGTGAGATCCGTGAATATTTTCTTTGAAATAATGTCGTGTTAACTTTTTGTATTTGGCATGTCCATTTTCTTCATTGTTGTGTGTGGCTGATACCTAGTTGGCATTTTCGGCCCAGTGTTTTGATTTTCTTCCCTTTGTTTTCTTAATCCTGTTTTGAATTGGTGGACTTCTTTGCTTTGTACAATTTTTCACACCGCTGTGTTCCTCTGAGGGGTCTGGGGACCAGTCAAGCTCTTTGTAAGCTTTCTTCCCCAGCTTTCACCATATAGTATACATGTATATGGTAAATAAACTATTATTATAATAAAAAAAAGTAGAGCGAGGGAAACGAGGGCTGGGGAGGAGGAGGCAGACGAAACGCAAAAAAAAAAGGAGGAAGTTTCCCCCTCTCCTCTCCAGCATACCGTCTGCTTGCTCCTCCCCAGCCTTCCTTTCCCTCGCCCCACCTTCTTGAGTTGAAATGGGCTATAGTGTTCGCTCTGAGGCAACTCGGAAGTCCAGCAAGCTCGGAGCAGACACTAGTTGGGTACAAACGCTATCATCATCATCCGACAGGGGTACAGTTTCGGTTTCGTCCGCAAACCAAAAAGTTTGTATTGTAGCATAAATATTAGTAAAAAAAAATGTTTTTTGCGACAGACACATTTTGAGACATGCCTGTTCTCACCAGATAGGGTACTAGGTGCAACGTTTTTTAAAGTTGAAATGAAGTAGAATGGTGTAATTTCGTGTTTGACTTCAGCCCAATTTTAGAATGAGACAGCCCTCTAACGGTTGTCTGAAGAAATGCAATGGGCAAAAAAACAGGACCGCATGGCGTTGAAGGCACACCTACATTGTGGTAAAGGTGACTATTCTCCCAGTCCAGGACTTTCTCTATCGAATGCCGCATCTACAAATAAGATAGATTCCAGTTTTCTATCCCGTTCCGACACAGTCTTCGAAGGTCTGTAGCCGTCTATACACGGTCAAAAGTGTACATTGGCGCTTTAGTGTTTGCAAGATGCAATCATAAATGCGGCGTTGCAGCATCTAATTGTGTACAAGTTGTGGTCATACACCAAGCGTCTGTCAGCACCTGTTCTAGTGTGCTAACAAAAACAACAAAAAAATGTACAGCACGGGGCTTCAGAGTTTTTCCAAAATGATAAGCATGTAGTTCTTTCAGATTTGTTTTAAACAATGTGGAAAACACGACCGAAGGATACTTGATTTTTCTTGCCACGGGCACTAGTCGAAACTTTAAAGCTACAGAGGCCAGATTCACGAAGACATTCTCAGGCTACGCAACTTAGCTATGTTCGCAAGTTGCACACATCGCAAGAAGTGCGAAAGCTAATACTTACGAACTCAAGTTGTAGACTTTTGGTGCCCTGCAGGCTCCCGATGCCAGCGAGAGCGTGGCTGTTGCTATGGCGATAGTCCTTTCGGCAACACAAACAACCTATCGGGGCTCAACCCGCTTCGGAGCACGTGGATTCTGAATTACAACAAGCGCAGGTGGACTTTCCGCCAATGCTTGTCTGGAGATTGTTTCCGCGCAGTGAAATGACGACGCTATGATTTACATGGGCCCTAATGTCGAGAGAGAATGCCGGAAAACCGCCTCGGTCGACACTGTAAACTCAATCACTACGAAGTCAACACAACTACCATCATTGCTAAAAGAAGACGGCTTGCACTGGACGTCTGCAAAAGCGGCGCACAGGGAAAAAAATTGCTGCAGCGTTTTTTCGCAGCCTCGGGGCTGTAGGAGCGAGCAGTCGTCCAACAACACACATGTGAACTACAAAAGTGTCGGCAAGAGCCATGTAAATACCTATTTAATACACTGGGAAGGGACATGCGCGTGTTTGATCGAGTCGCTGGAACAGCGCTGTTGGACTGCATCTCGGTCAGCGCTTCGGGACCAATCTTTTATTTATTTATTTATTTACTGAAATACCTTAAAGATCCACTGAAAATAAAATAAATGTTTTTAAACAGTCTGGTTGAAACACGCGTGTCAAAAAACTAGCTTTACGCAAAACCAAGATACGTTTTTAGAGCAATATTGACGGTGTCACCTCCTTTCTACTTGTTTTCTCTCGGCATTTCGGGTGCATAGAGAGGTGGATCGGCTTGGCCATCACGTTAAGGTGGCGAGAGTGTATGACCATTCCGTGACGTCATGGGCTTTCCGCGCAGATTTTTAAATAAATCTCGAGCCGTCAATACTGCTCCAAAAATGTATTTTTTTTCACGTAAAATTAATTTTGTGAGACGCGTGTCCCAACCAAACTGTTCAAAAAAAACTTTTTTTTTTTCTGTGGCCCTTTAAAGGTTTCTTCAAGTGGATTACATAAGACAAAAGGCACACACATTACGAGGAAAAACTGACTAAAAAGAATCAAAAGAATCAAAGCAAAAAAATAAGAATAAATATCTAAAGCAAATCACACAGCTACCACTATTTTAAAAAAAGAAATGATAGAACATAAATTACAACATTGCTAAATAAAAGAAATATGAGTCCAAAAATATTTGGGGTTTGTTTTGGTGACAAAGGAATCGGGAAGGGCATTCCACCAGACAACATATTTTTGAAAAAGAAGAAAAGAAAAGTGAAGAGGTTTGTCAGGTGTAGTGATCAGGTTTGCACAAGTGGTTAACATGAGGCGATGCACTGAGAAAGTGATTTTTGCGGGCCATCTCTCTACATTATGTAGAATCAACGAAAGTTTCCTTTTTCAGCAAGAGCATTTGCCGCTGCTGCCTCTGAAAACAAGGCAATGACAAGCGGAAGAGACTGACTTCTGAGCTAAAAATCGAGGTCAGAAGTTAAACTATTTATACGGAAAAGGTCGTCAAGGGTCGCGCGGGCACATTCTATTCAGCAGACGGTCTTGGCCAGGGACAGTCGGAGCAACACAGCGTAGGAGTGCCTTGCTAGGCCTAGTGTGCCGAACTAGCCCTTGGCAGCTGCTTGGATGGCGAAATCGCTGCCGTTGTAGCTTTTTTCAGATATCTTTGGAACCAGCGTTCGTAAGATTGTTTCATAAATCTGACCTCCAGTCTATAGCAGCTTCTACGTGACTTGCACTCACGGAGAAACAAAGGGTACAGTGAAATATCACTTGAAGAAACTTGAATTGAAAAAAACCACTCAGATGAAAAAACTCAAATTCCCCAGCAAAGCCACGCTGTGCATAAAGCATTTAATGGGGTGAACTTTCACCTATGTAAACTTTTCTTTGAGGTGCCTTGAAATTTGTTCGGGTTGTATTTCACTGTATCTCCCGAGATTCGACATGGCGGGGATCGAAGCACAATAGACCTTATTTTTCCTGGTGAAGTCGTGCAGAACTTTGAGGGCTGTGTTGCGAGACTCAAAGATGGTGACACGTCTGTGCTGTCTTAGTGTTCCTACGTTGTGCCAAATTGACTGTACAAAGGAAAAGGAGATGAAAAACAAAGAACTGCAGCCTGCACTAGAGCCTTGTTTCTCAGACCTGTTGAGAACATTCGTTACGAGAAGCGATAGAAGCATCGCTATCTTCAAGGACCATTGCTTCCCATTTTGGATAAGTGGCACCAAAAATAGAGAAATCTGCACTCTGTAGGTGGCACAACCTGTTGCCCGATGAAAAAGGTTCAGGCTAAATTTATTTTTATTTTTTGGGCTCCTGTGAGACTGCACCGAACAAATCTTTCCAGTATGCCTATGCTCCTACAGGGTGCAGCCATAGGGATCAACACATTGGCATGCATTGCAAAATTTCAAATTCTTGCATACCCGCGATTGGGACGCGAACATAGTCTCTCAAGATGTATGTCTCTTTTTTCAAAGCTTAAGTCAGAGATGGTAATATATTAAAATTAAAGCACAAACGACGGCTGTGCATTTCCTATGGCCTATACAAGATGTTTGTTGTCTGCACACTGGTTTGTGAGCTTTCCCACAGGTGGTCATTATTCATCATATATTGTTAAAAGTATTAATTAACGCGATTATCTCGCACATCGCCAGCCTCTACTATTGGCTCTTAGTGTTTTTGCGTACAGCGAGCCATGCGGGAGCGAACTCGTAAACCAGTGTGGAGACGACAAACAGGCTTTTATAGGAAAAAAAAAATACACGGCCACTGGTTTCGCTTTATTTCTTACATTTTACATCCTCCAAGTTGGGCTCTGAAAACAAGACATAAAACTTCTTGCTAAACTATGCTTTCGTGCCCAATTTCACGCATGCATGTTTGGAATTCGAATTTTGCAAGGCGTGCCAAATGTGTCGGTCCTTACTGCCCCACCCTGTACATACACCCTCTCCCCTCGCCTTGCTTCCCGCTGTCGTTCTTTTCGAAGGGCAACGTCTCGCACGACCAACGTGATTAGAACCCGTCTTTGCGCTTATTTAGCCTTTTTCGGCGATTCTCTTTTAAGAAATGGTAGCATGCAGCATAAATATCAATAAAAACCGATACAATGCCAGCACGTTTTGACGGGCGGATGCTATGTTGGGCTGCACTTCGTTTGAAGTTCACAGGCAACCTTCTAGACTGTGCTTGTTACTTGAAAAGGGTTCATTACTACAGTGGAATCTCGTTAATTTAAAGCCTCTATATTCAAACTCGTGGATAATTCAATCTAACATGCAGGTCCCGTCCCATGAGTTATAAGGGAGGAAACTCCCAGTAGTTCAAACTTTGCATTATTCAAAGAACGTTTTGGTCCCCTTTGGGTTCAAATTATAGAGATTCCACTGTACTTCCTCCTAGCGCTTGGGCTAGATGCTCCCAAAGAGAACTTGGGGAAAAGATAAACGTTGGGGAGGGAGCTCAGTGTTCGAGGAGACGAACGACTCACCCGTTTGCTCAAGCAGACGACGGGCCAGAGCGAGCATCCGAGGGTACAGCAACAACACAGGCAGCCGCAGAAAAGCCACTTGACGTTCACGGGTAGAGTCCTGCGCAGGACGCTGTTGATGCGCACCATGGTAGCTTTGAATTCTTCTGGAGCCACCTGCGGTAATTTTGCAGCTGGTTAAATTACAGCTACCACAGCACGCCACCTCGCACGAGAAACAACTTTCGGCCCTACGTGTAAACGAGGGTGGCGCCATTTCCCATCGACTATGGTGGATGAAAAGTATGGGTCCGGCAACGGCATCTGCTCATAGTGCCCATTTGTTTCGCCTGCTCAGTTAGAGCCACTTGCTTGCCTCGTATTCTGCCCAACATCTTTTAATGCACATTCCTAAAACTCGTTACAGACTTCACGAATGCAAACCTCTATACACGTGAACTACTTCCTGTGTCATTTCAGAAGTGAAGAGCGCTCGTGCACGGCTCTGATGTTCGAGCGCCCATGGGCCGAAAACTTTGACCGCATAGCCACAGCAAGGTGTCCTTGAGTATATACTCTGTTGCAGGTTAAGAAAAGCAAGACAAGCTTCGCCCAAAAAGCCCTGCAATCATTCTACTTTAGCAGAGTGAATGCCAAAGAGGAAGAGAGTTCACCTGCCTCCTCTCCAGTGTTTGATCTGTTAAAACCGAAAGAACGTAGGGCTTTGCAGGCAGAGCTTTTCTCGCTTTACTTAGCCAGCAATAGAGTGTACACCTAGTGATCGGTTTGCCTTGCTGCATGCCCTACCCGGAGAAAGAACACGGAGCAAAACGGTTTCAACAACAAGAAACTACATTTAATTGGACGTGGACGGGACGAGGGAGAATACTAACAGAAAACCAACGAGCACTGGTGGTGCTTCATTCCAGCCAGCGACTCGCTGACGGTCATCACAGTCCATGGGAGCAGTGAGGCCACGGCACAAATTCTATTGGTACGTCGAATCTAGCCGGAGGCCAACATAATGGAACCGCGCGCGACGATTTCACTGCTTCATGTTCCCATTGCCATGCTTTAGGATTCTGGGGCCGCCATATCGCTTAGAGGTGATTCCTAGGCAAAGCATAGGAGACGAGCCTCCAGGAATGCAAAGACCCGTTTGCAGCTAGCTTCTGGCACAGCGAAAACAGGTGCAGGAGCCGTGAGGCTGCGGACTCTGTTTAATGGAAAGAAGCGGCGTCAGCGATTTCTTTATCTGCCAGGACTCGCGGCACCCGTGATAGTGGGCCTAGATTTTATTACAGGCGAAAGCAGGACACTCGACTTTTGTAGAGGGGGATACCGGTCGGGACAGCAACCGGAACTGACTATCTGTTATTCCTCCGGGTCGGGCATGCCCAGCCAGGGCAAACCAAACACAACCTTTCCGAAATAACGCTCCTAGGCCGCCACCATGCTGCTGATGATGAAAGCGTCTGGTGCGATTCCCGCATGCCCTAATAGTTTTTCTGCCACTCTCCTGGATTGTTGAAACCTGCACAGTGCGATCCCCCACTTATGTTTTGCGGTTTCGAATAGAAAGATTTCCAGCCTCTCTTGGAAGTTTCTGCTTTATTTTCCTTGAGCATGCTCCGTGCCCTTTCTCTGTTGTCTTCCCCCGTTAAAATGACGCTGGTAAGCGCACACCATTTCAGCGGTTCTGCTCGACATTCACAAGAAACAAAGCAAGAAAAGAACATCGAACGGTCCACGACACAATTCTTCAAACAAGGACAACTGTTCTTTCAAGTCCCAGAGATAATCTGCGTAGAGGTTTATCTTGGGGACTGGAGAGAACAGTTGTCTCTCTGCGCAAAAATTTTCCAAAAGCTGGGATTCATGATTAAAAACGAATACCTCCGACTTGCATAACAATATCAACATTTATCAGACGTTTCGTCTCCTATACGGGAGACATCATCAGTGCGGCCTGGGAACACCCGACTAGCTACCAGAAATTCAACGCTTCTTCTTCCTTCTCTTCATCCGTAGCGCTGGTTCTGCCGACTTCTTCGTCCATGGCATACGGGAGACATTATCATCGTCTGCCCTTGCTTCAACTTCTTTTTACGTCCGTCCTGGATGGTAAGTTAAATGACAAGTTATTTCAGGATGTCGGTGTATACGTCGGGGAGGCGGCCGCGGTTAGAATTGCAGGCGGATGGGTCACTGCGAATACACCATGATTCCAGACATCTTCTGGGGCCCCACCGTTGTTCGCGTGCCAGGGTCACAGCGTTCGCCAGGTCAAAAGTGTGACCAGTCGTCCAACAATGGTCCACCAGTTCAGTTTTTGATCTTGTGGCATGTGTTGCCTTCTCCACGTCTCTTTTGTGCTCTTTGAGGCGGGTACTCCGTTTGCGGCCAGTTTCTCCGATGTAACACTTGTCACAGTCCTGACAGTTCACTTTGTATACAACACCACTTTGAGATTCAGGAGGGGTTCCAGATCAAAATCTGAACTGATGGACCATTGTTGGACGACTGGTCACACTTTTGACCTGGCGAACGCTGTGACCCTGGCACGCGAACAACGGTGGGGCCCCAGAAGATTTCTGGAATCATGGTGTATTCGCAGTGACCCATCCGCCTGCAATTCTAACCGCGGCCCCCTCCCCGACGTATACACCGACATCCTGAAATAACTCTAAGCAGAATTTATTGTCCATTTTTCTTCCACCAAGTCCGCAAGTCTTTGCTCAGGGCACTGGATGGCGTTTCCGGCTTATTTTCCCTGACTGGGCTCGATTTTTGACAATGTCCCTTACAATTCCGAGTAGTGCCTCCATGTCACACCACTCAAGAACAGTCGACTAAAGGAACTTAGTTGTAATGAACCAATGCATAGCATATAAAAGGGAAGTATTAATAAAAATCTTTATTGGCTCATCACAGAGCCACACGAAGGCAACAGTCCAAACTATGGGGACAAGAACGACGGGGCGTCTGTTTCAAATGCCCCTGCTCCAGCATGCACAGTGCTGGGGCTGCGCGCTGCAGGCTTTCAAGACGCCGAAGCGGTATCAAAAGTAGGAAGCCATCATTCTCATCTTGTCAGACTGCAACAACTGTGTTCATATGTGGTGATACAATATGCTACATGAGGAAAGCACTGTCATACAAATACAAATCGCACGCACACTCGCAGGCAGGAGATTTTGTGCCAGTATGGAGAAGTGAACGGTAAAGGGGGCAATCATGGTCGAATCGAGAAAAGCAAAGACGGCTTTTACAAATAAACCATGCATCGCAAAAAGCTGAACCGTAGTGAGAATCCGATGCTAGCGGTGATGATAAAATGTGAAAGTGTGAGCGCATGAAGTTACCTGGATCAAAAGACACACACAAAAAGAAAAAGACTTCTCAATGAGCCGACATCTACTTGAGCCTAATATTCACCGAGCAGTAATTTGAGATTGTGGGCGCCTGTAGCCTTTATTTCAGTGAAAGAAACTGGGGGCTATGTGCCACAAATATTTCGTTTCTCCTAAAAAGAAACGGAAGTGACGGAGCTGACAACATGGCGTCTGATTGGTTAGAGGCTCAAAGGACTGAAGTTTTTTCTTTCGTGATTTGAGCCTCTAACCAATCAGACGCCATGATGCCAATTCAGTCACTTCTGTTTCTTTTTAGTAGAAACGAAACATTTGTCAAACATAGCCCCCCTGGCCACTTAGAAAGACAATACTGTCTTCTTTCATGCTGACAAGTTTCTTCACTGACATATTGCTGCAAGCACTGACAGTCTGAAATTTTAATTTGGTGAAAGTTTGGCTCAGGTAAACGTCGACCCATAGAATTTTTTTTTCTGTAGTATGGCAACATTATGCGCTCAAACTTTCGCATTTTATCTTTACCGCAAGCGTCAGAATCTCACGGAGTTTCAGCCGCCTTCTGCGAAGCGTACTTTACTTATGAGAGCTAAAAAGCCGGGTTTACCTTTCAGGATCGGACTTCGTAGATCAGCCGATCGATAATGAAAACAAAATTCCGGATCGACGAGCTGTTTAATGGTCGTGACGTCTGCGGGACGTGAAGAGGGAGGGCGCGACACCACAAGAAACGCGTGGGTGAGGCTGAATCGATGCTGGAAAAAGACCTCCCCTCCATTTCCCCACACACGCACGCCGTTACTATCTGGAAAAAGTTGCGGCACGCCAACCAAACACACTGGGCGATATCGTTCCCTTTGTTTGCCGTAACTACCACGAAAAATGCACAAACAAACAAAAAGCGCGTCGCTGGCAGCTCTCGCCACTTGCCTCTGTGCGTTTGGAGGGGATAAAAACCCAACGTTGTTTGTGTTGCTATTTATTTTCAAAGCGACCTGACGTTCAGAGACGCTGTCGGTCATACCGCGGAGGTCTTTTCCTTCTTTCGTAAGCAAGCACCGAAGCATGGTTTAAAAAATGAAAGCCGCTTACAACTCCCTGTAACGCCGAATTAGAGCGCAGCTCTTGAGGAGGAGGAGGGAAGGGCACTGGGGGGGGGGGGGGTTAAACTAACCAGGGGGGGCTCACGTTACCTTGGGGGTCACGTGACCCCCAATGCCGATGATGTCATCACTGACGTCACTGATGACGTCATCAGTGACGATGACGATGCGGGTACCGATGACGTCATTAGTGACGTCACTGATGACTTCACCAGTGATGATGACGATGACGATGCGAATGTCGGTGACGTCATCAGTGACGTCGCTGATGACGTCATCAGTGATGATGACGATGACGATGCGGATGCCGGTGACGACATCAGTGACGTCACTGATGACGTCATCAGTGATGATGACGATGACAATGCGGATGTCGGTGACGTCATCAGTGATGATGACGATGACGATGTGGATGCCGGTGACGTCATCAGTGATGATGACGATGACGATGTGGATGCCGGTGACGTCATCAGTGATGATGACGATGACGATGTGGATGCCGGTGACGTCATCAGTGATGATGACGATGACGATGCGGATGCCGGTGACGTCATCAGTGATGATGACGATGACGATGTGGATGCCGGTGACGTCATCAGTGATGATGACGATGACGATGTGGATGCCGGTGACGTCATCAGTGATGATGACGATGACGATGCGGATGCCGGTGACGTCATCAGTGATGACGATGACGATGTGGATGCCGGTGACGTCATCAGTGATGATGACGATGACGATGAGGATGCCGGTGACGTCATCAGTGATGACGATGACGATGTGGATGCCGGTGACGTCATCAGTGACGATGACGTCATCGGGAGGTCACGCGACATCGGCGGGGGTCACGTGACCTCGAGGAGGGGGCCACGTGACCTCAGGGGAGTCACGTGACTTCGGGGGGTCACGTGACCCCCCACGAGGTCACGTGACCTTGGTGGGGGTTCGCGCGGTGCATTATGGGACATTTCCCATGATGCACCGCGCGGTTACGCCGACGCCGACGGCGACGGCGACGCCGACGGCGACGCCGCTCAAGCCGGAAACGGGCCCCTAAGAGCTGCGCTCTAAAATGGACCATAGAAGTGCTCGCGCGAGCGCATGCATGCACGGTGGGGGGTGAAGAACTCTTGCAGCGTGTGACGTTGAGGCGGATGGAGTATGTGCTAGCTCGTCCGGAGGAGATAGACCGGTACTCACACTGTCATGTTTCCGGCGCCTCGTATGACCATCGGTTCGGGTGCGAGGCTCACCAACGAATCTTCGTTGGCCCTCAGGTCTTCGTCGTCCTCTTCGTAGATCGCGTCGAGATCTGCCATGTTTGACTATGGCGACGCCGCCATCCGGCTTCAGGGTCACGGGCACGCACTCGTCGCTCTCCTGTTTCCGTCTGTGCGCGAGAAGTAACCGTGGTACGCCCTAATGCGACTTCAAGCGAGTCATGGCACCGCACGACTCATAACAAAAGCGCTTAGGGTTCGTTCAGCTGTTGTGAGGATCTCTGCCAGTCTCTGTTTCGCTGTTCCCTGTTCCTCTGTGATAGCTTCTTGCTTCTCTCACAGGTGACGGCAATAAAAAACATGTTTAAATATAATAATAATATTGGCAGATGGCGCGATAAGCCGACTAATTAAAACTAAGATTGTTTTGTACATATATAAATGTTTCTGTCACGTGATTTGTTTGAGTGCGTTCTTTTACTTAAAGGGACCATGAAATGACCTTTTTACTTTTTCCAGATAACTTTTAAATTAAACCGTCAATGCTCACTTAATGCCGAACAGGCATCCGTCTTCGTCTCGGTTTATTAACTTCTACACAAAAAATTATTGAAATATCGACTTTTTCATTCTCTCCAACTGACCCCAAAACAAGCCGTGATGTAGGCCGTTTCCGGAACCGGAAGTTCTCTCGGCAGTAGGAGAATGGGAGTGTTAACGGCAACGAGTTGGGGTGCGCCGGTAGGTTTTACTACTGCGCTGATGTCACCGACGTATTTCCTGAATCGGCGCCTCTCATCGCAGCTGAGCGAAATTCAATGAGATATGTTGCGCTACAGCGACAGCATGGGACTAGTCCCATACGCCGGTATGCCTGTTGGGAAGTGCAGCGAGTCTTCCGATGAAGACTCCAGAAGTCAACCACCCTGTCATTGTTGGCAGAAGGGCCGGCCCGTGTCAGTCGTTTGCAAAGCGACGTAGATGGCGTTTTTCGTGGCCTCGGAGATGCAGGAGCGAGCCGACGTTAAAAAAGATACGTTTGAACTACGAGTGTCAGCAAGAGCCACGTAAATACCTGTTTACACTCGGAGCGGACGCGCGCGCTTGATGGAAGTGCTGTATTCGCGCTGTTTGTAAGCGCTTCGGGACCGTTCTTTTACGATTGCAACTCGATACTGACGCGACACTCGGCAAAGAAAGGTTGGACCGGGTTTGTACGTATACCTCCCACGAACTGTTATAGCTCGACAGTGACGTGGAGTCTGTCAGAATAAAAAATGGCATACCAATAACAAAGTGTACATACCGTGTTACGAAGGTAATCCATACGGCGTTTATTTCAGCTCTATATCACACAAAACAAGAAGATAGAATCGACGAGTGTTCGTCAACGCTGCCTCGGAAAACAAGGGGAAGAGATTGACCTCACCTCTTAATCTAGAATTGAGGTCAGCGATCAAACTATAATACGGGAAGGGTCCACAAGGGTCGCGCGGGCATATTCCATTTAGCACACCAGCCGGTCGTAGGCAGACGGTCTTGCGACGAAGCAACGCAGCGCCGAGTCGGAATGCCAGCTAGGCCTATATTCTGAGCAGCTCGCTTCGTCGGAGTCGGTGGATCCAGCGTTCTTGTTCGTCGTGGTCTGTTTTAAGTACTGCTTTCTTGCTGCTTGAAGTCGGCACGCGCGGGAAGAACAGTAGAAAAATAAACGTTCAGTCAGTCAGAGTTTTGAGAGGAAGGAAAACAAAAGAAAATAAACGCTCGACGATCGCCGCCACCCAAGCAACTGTCGGCCCTGCCCTACTGCGCACGCGCAGTAGTTGCTTCGTTTACCACACGATAGATGGCGCTTGGCTCTCAGCATTATCAAATTTGGCAATTTTCGCCACACATCTCTAATTATGCTACAAAATGTGGATCTGAATATTATTTAACAAAACTTTTAGGAAACATTCGCCGGCTATTTATAGTTTACGATCGCGGTGCTGGTGAGGTAGGCTCTTACCCAATAGGCGACCTGGATTTGGCTGACGTGCTCCATTTCCGCGGATGCATCGTAGTGAACACGCGAAGGAAGGCAGGCGCAAAAGAGTCCAGTTTTCTTTTAAAAGTTCTATAGCAAATAATTTTTTTTTGGCTCCCTATTTTCGTGCTTCTTTTCACACCTTTTACGACGTGCGGTGGATGAAACTCGATTTTAAAATCATTTCATGGTCCCTTTAAAGGGACCATGAAATGACCTTTTTACTTTTTCCAGATAACTTTTACATTAAACCGTCAATGTTCACTGAATGCCGAACAGGCATCCGTTTTCGTCTCGGTTTATTAACTTCTACACAAAAAATTATTGAAATATCGACTTTTTCATTCTCTTTAACTGACCGCAAAAGAAGCCGTGACGTAGGCCGTTTCCGGAACCGGAAGTTCTCTCGGCAGTAGGAGAATGGGAGTGTTAGCGGCAACGAGTTGGGGTGCGCCGGTAGGTTTTACTGCGCTGATGTCACCGACGGACCTTAGTAGCACCATATGTTGCCATAACGTGACTGGAATGTCACAAATGTAATGTAACGTTGGGGCACATTTGGGTATGTTATAGCAATGTTTGAAAACTAACGTAACAGAAACGTTCTCCTGTAACATTGTTTGACTGTCACTGAACGTCATGTAACGTTGCATCACATAGGCAAACGTTCCAGGAATGTTAGAGAAGCAACATTGGAGCAACGTTTAGAAATAACCTCTTGGTAACATTTCCATTCTGACATACGGGCAATGTTATGCAGCGATGTTGGCCTAATGTGACGAAATGTGACGGATCACCACATCACACAGAGGCTGGTCAGGGATACACGAAGATACCAAACTTATAATAGTTCAATGTTGATTCTCTTGTTCAAACATTTTTATTGTTTTACAAACAGAAAGACCGCTCTAATGCTTGTGACGGGCGTGTTTGAAACAAATGTTCAAAATGTACCCTGGAAAGATTGCAGAAAATTAAAAAAATATCTGTCCAAAAGGTTTATGATAAAATTGAATTCATTTGTGTGTATGGCATTTCCTTGCTTCCTTCCTGCCCCTTAACGGGTTGGCGAGTCTGCTCAATATTCACGAGCTAGCATGCACCCTCATCATAGCTTTTAGGTTAAGGTCATTCGAATGTCCAGCTTTTGGAACGCATGCTAAAGATAACAAGAGGGTGAGGTCACGGGGTGTTATTGTTATCAAAGGTGGAAAACTTACGCTGGTGACGCGACGACCCAAAGACCTCCCGAACATGTATAGAATGGCATGAGAGTCGTAGCCTGTAAATTAATTTGGAACACGTAGCTAGCTAAAATTATCACCAAAAGTGTATTTTAGTTGTGTGCTCTATTGTGTTATTTTCGAAGCGTAGCTTTGTTTCTGTGAAAAATACGAACATGATTACCCTACGGCCAGGTCGCAGACAGCTCTTGGGGTCGACCGACTGCTCTATCCGACCCGAGCTTGCTGCAAAATGATTTCTACTATTTAAAATAGAAGCGAGGACTAATTTCACCATGGACTCAGGTCAAATCGAGCGACTGGGTGGTTCTTACTCTCGCCCTGTCTCGGTTGTCTGCGCCAGTGCTTGCCATAGAGATTTAGAGAAATCTTGGAGCGTGCAGTATAAGATACACCCTGGTTGAAAATTTGAAATAGTTACATGCAGAAGCTCATATTTCAATCCAATTTACAGCTCAGCACTCTATTCGGAAAACTCAAAAAGTGGCGGCTCATTGCAGCACACTGCAAGTGAGACGACTGGCGGTAGCCATTGTCTCATAGACAGAGGAGGGGAAAAGGGAGACGGTTGAGGGGGAAGGTGAGCGATGAGATGGGAAGGAGAATAGAGGCAGGAAGAAAGAGGTCAAGTATGAAGGTCGAAGGCCAAAAACACACGCTCACACAAGGAAGAGAGGAGACAAAAGGAAAAGGGGAATGAGGATGAGAGGCTGAGGGAGCATGAAGAGAAAGATGAAGAGAAGTGGGGCAGGGAGGAGCAAGATCAGACGGAGGAGAGAGGAAAGAGGGGAGGAAGAGCGCACAGAGGGAATATGAGGCCAATGGGGGAGAAGGAGTGGAGGGGAATGAGGAGATGGGACGGGGTGGGGCCAGGTAAGACGTAAAACATCGCAGGTCATAGGCCTCGGTTGCATGGAGACAAGATCACACCTTCCCGACCACTCAAAATGAAGAGCCATATGCAGCTGCCACCAAAAAGAAAAGGTCAAAGGCCATGAACATAGAATCACTCAAACGAGAGAGAAGGGGGAAGAGGGGAGGAAAGATGAGTATGATGGGTAGTGGGAAGAGGAAGGTGGACAAGAGAGTAGAGGAAGAGGGGAGGGAGGAATAAGGAGACCGAGGAGATAGAAGGGGAGATGGCGAGGAGGAGCAGTCAAGGGTCCGAAGTCGAGATCAAAGGTCAAAGGCAACAAACATATAATCCTATGAAGGTGGGGAAGGGGGGGCCACAAACATTAAATCATGCGAGGAAATGAGGAGTGAAAGGTTGGAAAAGGCAACATAGGAGAGATGGGACGGGAATGGGGTGAGATTAAAGAAAAGTGAGTGAGAGGGGGGGGGGGGAGGGGCAGGTAGGAAGGAGATCTAGCATCAAGAGCCACGGATACAAGGACGCACTCCGCCGACCACTCAAAATGAAGGGCCCCAAGGGGGGAGGCACTCACTTTATGGAGTGACGTGTTAGCGAATGTCCACATTTCACCGAATGACACTTTAGCAAAAATTCGGACGCTGCGAAGCGGCGTTTTCGGGTGGGCCAAGTGGGTTCACATTTTTGTAATGAGCCGCCGCAGACTCGCCGCGCGGCGGATGGGTTAACGCGCGCCCCCGTTATTCGCTAAAACGTCGATTCGCTCAAATGCCACTGTTTGCTAAAACGTCATTCGCTCATCTAATATGGACCCTAATTATAATGAAACGAGTACAATCGCACACACATTGTTAGCCCCCGTTCACTTCTCGCCAAAGAGCCGTCGACACGAGAACATATTTGAGCTTGAGGCTTCGAAGCTCGCTCTGCGTGGACCACTCTTTGCCTACATTTGTTATCTGGACACATCACAATAGCACAGCACAGTCGCATAGCTACGGTACTACCGTTTCGATGTTAACAGTTCACTATCGTTACCGATATTACGGTCGAGGTCATCCACTGATCACTGCAAGACGTTGCAAGATCGCCATCGGCCGCCATGATTGCACACTAGTACGGCATTACGGTTATGGCTGTACGGCTTATACCAATTTCCAATTTCTCCAATCGATGTAATGTTTTATAACTCTTAAAAAAAACTTATTTTAGTACTGTCAGATAAATTTCCACAGTTTATTCCTACTTGAAACTTCATGTTTAGTCGTTTACTCGTTTACACACACTGTTGACAAGCCAAGATGCCAAGAGTGCAAGTGGCTCAAGCCAAGCAAGGTCGAAGCCAGGTTGACCTCGTGACCGTATGTCAACGGACTTGAACGGACCGTCAAGGCCTGTTTCATCGGACCGCTCTGCCGATCTCTCGGCGTGGAGGAAACGTAAACAAAGGTATGTTTCATTTTCGTTGTTGTTACTACTTGTGCTGAACAATGGAGCGGGCGAAGCGTTCGCTATCAGAGCTCTCTGATCGCCAAAAAAGACGTAGAGTAGCCGAAAGTGTTCGCGAGGAACTTGAAAGTTGCGGTACGAGCAGTGAGGAGTCGGTGGACACTGAGGAAGCATACCCTCTTTCACCTGGACAACAGGCCGTGGCAGCACATGCAAGTTTCTCCGGAGAGTTTGAATACCAACGAGCTTCCGAGTGTGAATCTGAGTCGAGTGATACGAGTGGTGCACGAAATAACCTAATCTCAGAACACCTGTGTCCAAATCCCCGCTGCGAATTCCCCGCGTTACCTCCCCCTCTTCAAAATCCCCGACCTTCAAAACCCCCTTTCCTTTATCCCCTTATCAGCTCCCCCGGGCCAGTGGTCCTTAGAAACCATTTGGAAAAGCGCTTTTATGGACACTTCATAAAGCTGAGCTGTGTTATGACCATCCTAGCGAGCCCCAACTGTTCTTTGACACACTGTGATCTTGCAGAATCTCTCTTGAGAGAGTTTGTTTCTGGATCTGGTACCTTGTATGAGGGGGTTTATGTCTACAACATGCACTCCCTGATCCACCTGACAAGACGTTCGACGGTTCGGCCCTGTCAACGCCTTCTCGGCCTTACCCTTTGAGAACTTCCTTGGGAAGCTCAAGAAGTTAATGAGGGGTCCTTCCTTGGCACTGCAGCAGGTTATCAAGAGGCACTCAGAAGTGAATCCCACCACCGTGTCAAGTTCTGTGCAACAGAAGCGTGCTCTGCTCAAGCAACAACCTGAGCCGCCAAGCTTCAAGAAAACCCCGTGCAGTGAGCTTGTTTTAGACGGAGCACATTTCTCTTTGAAGGCGTCCGACAACTGTGTTCAACTGAAGTATGGCAACATTGCTGTTGTTAGGAACTTCATCGAGTCAGATGGGAACCGTAGCATCTGCGGACAGTTTTTCCGAAATCTCGGCAACCTTTATACTTCAAAGCTGCCATCATCAGAGCTAGGAATTTTTAGAGCTACAGGGCTCTCCATGCAGTATTCAGTGGGGAGTGTGCAGGACATCAGGTGGAAGTGCGTCTGCTTGCAATATAACCAGGGACATGATTGTAAACCTGAGACTGGGGCAGAAAGGAGAACACAGCAGAAGGTAGAAAAAGAGGAGGCAATGTCTCAAACTCAGCTGCAAAGTTTATTTCGTACACGCCTTATATACCACAACTCCAACGCTGTCTCTACAAAAAAAAAAGATATATGACAAGAGGACAATGAAATTTGGGTAAACCTTCTCTTATCTCCCTTGACCTCTCCTGCGAAACACTCACACAAAGGGTCACATTCCAGCATAACCACCGCCATTCGGCGTTGGAGTTGTGGTATATAAGGCGTGTACGAAATAAACTTTGCAGCTGAGTTTGAGACGTTGCCTCCCCTTTTTCTACCTTCCGCTGTGTTCTCTTTTCTGCCCCAGTCTCAGGTTTACAATCATGTTCAACTTACACCAGCTCGCCTGCACGCTGACTATTTTTTCGATAACCAGGGCTATGCTGTTTTTTTATCTACTTCACTTGCAAGTGTGATCTATGTTTGCAACTATTGTACATTGGTTGTGCTTAATTCGAAAACTGTATTTTTAGTGACTTATGACTGGTCTTTAAGGTAATAACGGCTTTATTTGTTGATTTCAGGAAATGTACTCTCTTGTCCATTTTTTGGCGGAAAATGATGTCGCAGTTGTCCCTACCTGTTGGGTGTGCAATGGCTGCACGGCATGGCCACCCTACAAATCAAATCGGTTGATGATGGATATTAGAGAGCGTGAAGAGCCCTCGAGTGACTGGGCCACATTCTCCTGTCAGGTGATGGCATCATGTTGTAAATATAGAAGGGTGTCTAGCAACCGGGAAAACCAGGAATTGTCACGGAAATTTTAATTACCGGGAAAAATCAGGGATATTGTCAAAAGTCAAGCCCAGTCATGGAAAATGAGCCGGAAATGCCATTGAGTGCCCTGAGCAAATAGTTGAGAACCTTGGGGCAGAGAAGTAGGCAATAAATTCTGCTTAGAGCGGAGCGCGGACTCTGCTCACCCAATGTAGAGTGTGCTAGAGCACTGCACGAGCCAGAATTTCTAGACCCGGCCCAGTAGAGGCACGGCCCGGGTTTGGCCCGAGCCTAATAGAATATTTAATTTCCGGGCCCGGCCAGACTTGGCCTTGAAGAGACACGGCTCGGGCCCGGCCCGGACCCGACAGAATTTTAGACAGAAGCTTGAGCCCAGCACGAGCCCGACAAAATTTTTGTTTTCTTTATTATAAACCTGAGCTGGCCCAATCCTCACAGATTATATACATGAGCCCGAAAAAGTTGGCAGGCTTTAACCTAAAAGCTAGCTGTCTAACCATAAAGCGAGCATATTTGATTTAATGAACAAAAGTTTAGGGTGCAAACAAGCTTGTGGTGGTTAAACATTTGACTGGTGTGCTCGGCTTTCTTGTTTCAGTGACATATGAAGATGCAAAGTACAAAGAAAAAAAATTCGGAAGCGATGTCCGACCTAACATTGAATAATGAAGAGCGGGAGAAGAGAAAAAGGAAGAGACTGCAGCATACTCTTTCTTTATTTGAGGATGAGGACTTCTATGACCAAGATGTATGCACCTAAATTTCTGCAACACCTTTGTATTCGGGATTCATTTGCCCTCCTTTTTCATCAAGCTTGCCTCTTCTGCAGGAACGACGTAACACTCAGCCAGCCCCTCGACTTCCAGAACGTGCACCAGAGCCCAAGCAAAAACGCACACGTGTATGTTTGCTTTTTGTTGCTGCAATTTCTTAACGCTTTCCAGCATTTAGATTTTTTATTTTATGTGATTAGCCTCAGCTTGGTTAGCCGCAATTGTGATAATGAATGGTATCCATATTGTTTATTGAGCACCTGCTGTTTTGGTGTTTCTTTTAGAGCGCAGCTCTTAGGCGCCCGTTTCCGGCTTGAGTGGTGTCGCCGTCGCCGTAACCGCGGCGACGTTTCGGCAAGGTGACGTTTCGGCACCATGCCAAATTGTCCTCGCGGGGTCACGTGACCCCCGTCAGGAGGGTCACGTGACCTCACGGTTACGGCGACGCCGCTCAGAGGGAGGTGTGGCAGGGGGGAGGGGTATACCCTTTCCTCGGGACCCTTCCCTCCTCTTCTAGAGCTGCACTCTAATTTAGCGTTACAGGGAGTTGTAAACGGCTTTCATTTTTTTTATCTAGTCCTTTTTAATTTACAAAGCTGCTAGTTGTGGTATGCTTCCTCGCACAGGGACAGTTATAGCCTAAGGGATGGTGAAGTGGATATTTTTAATTTGATGGTGCATATGTTTGCTTTGAATTGCTGCAACCTCATGTTTGCATAATTCTGCTGTACTAGTCATTTTTATTTTACAATTTAATTTATTTTGTTTATTTATCTATGCTTTCTGGTCAAAGGATACATTAGAATGCTTGCTGTTTGTGCACTCTAACCCTAGCACTTTTTATGAACCTGTCCTCTGCTTTATATGTGGAATGGTTAGGGCAGCGTTAGGACTGACCACTTCTTAAAGAAAGGTGGTACATTTTGTTTTACACCACCGAGCACTCTTTGGTGTAAGGTACATTACCATATAGCTGAATGACACAATCAGCTATACACGTTTGCAAGCAGTCATGTTTCCAAAAGTAATCTAGCCACCATGGGTAGGGAAACGTGCTCTCAGGGTACCAATCTGTCAATTAGCTTAGTGACGCTTTAGCAAGCCTTCATAATCGGATTATCTGGGGTGCACCTGAGCTGGAAGATGGCAGCGCGCAAGGGCCCGCCATTTTGCAGACTCTGTCTCATTTTTGTTAGTGAGAGAAAACAAAGGTTTCTTCAGTATCATCTAGGAAAACCACATGTCCAATATTATCTCCATTTAAATCTTTATGAAATGGATCAGCAAACTGCTAACCCTAGCTGACAATGTAGGCGCAAACGACAGCGCAGTTGCTACTACGGCTTCAGTGCACCAAACATCAATTTACTATGTCAGGTGCATTGTTACGTTTTCTTTGTTTTTTCCATGCACAGCCAGTCCTTGACTTGAGCAATGTCTTCTCCAAAAGTTGCTTCAGCGGTGTCCACATGATTGGCATAGAGCTGGATGTGCACGTTTCTCATGGTTCACCTCTGTTAAATAATAATGGCATTGTTTGCACAATGTTCACATACTCAATGGCTCATTTATGTACTATTTAGTAGACCTCGCTGCATACTAATGTTCCTGAGATATTTATTCCTTTGAGAAAACTTGGCTTTAGCGTAGGTTGCAGTGGTGCAGATGTCGTCCGACACGGAGCAGACAACACTCAGGCCCGTCTGTTTGCGTCGTCCTCGCAGGGGTAGCACATCATCATTTGTACCATGGGATTGGTCATGTCTCCTCCGTCTCTGCCGTCGTTGCCTGTAGAAGCCGATGTTTCGGGTTTTATTTGGGCTATGTTTAAAGCAAAATTGCATAGGAAATATTCCACCAATGCATGAAATAAAATAGTTATTTTTATATTTCTTTTTAAATTTATTTTTTATTTTTATTTGAAGTCTTATAATTCCAAAAGTTTTGGAATTAAGCAGAGTTGCCTTTTAAGAACAAATGGCTATAGCTAAACAGGGCACACAAGTGAGGAGCTTTTTTTTCTAAAAAGGCGAAATACACATGAAGCAAAACAGATAAATTGGTATGCTTCATTATCAGTATAGCTTTGAGCCATGTGCCGCAGCCACCTCTGCTGTGGTTTCTATAGCGTACTCTGACCGATTTCACTGTAGTAGCATTTGAGATTGATGGACCAACGAATATAGTTTGAATTTATACAAAAATTTGCTTGGTTTCAGTTTTTGTGGATTTGGCTCTTTTAGATGAAAGGAAACTGTGTCCTGGTGAAGCATGTGACAGCAGCTCACATAAGCTCACTAGAGTGGAGTTTTGTCCCATGCCTCGCTCCCGAGCTATCTGGCTCATTGACAGGGTGTCTAGCACCTTGGAAAAGCTGGAATTGTCAGGAAATTTCGGATCATCTGGAAAAGTCAGGGAATTGTCAGGGAGATAATCTAAAAGTTAGCCAAATCAGGGAAAATGGCCTGGGCGAGTAATGCGGTGGTGTGCGACGAAGCCAGGAGAGTCGTGCATTGACGTGGCTGTGCTAAATAACATTGCCCGAAACTTTGTAAGTCTTTGACTTCTTGAGCAACATAAAGACCGATTTCAATAAATTGTTTTAAATTGTGAGTGGTGTTCACTTATGAGGTGTTTAGTAGCACTTCGTACCCCATCTCCAAACTTCATAATGGACAGGAAATTTAAAACCTGGAAAAGCTGGGGAACTTAAAAGGAGGAATTTGCTAGACACCCTGGCTGATTTCATAGTTACCGATGTCTGCCAAGTTATGCTGAAGTAGGGCATGAAATTGTCGATATTTCACTGTGGTAGCTGACGTTGTGTTGTAATTATATACTTTTGAAACAGGAGCTGTGCGCACCTGCTTTAAACAGAAGGCAGAAAACAATGAGCCAGCCATCATCGTGCAGGAAGCCGACGCCAAATGGGCTGCTGCTGAATCAGTCAGGCATGCACCAGCTAGGACCAAGAAAATGGTAATATGATATTTCTAATTTTGCTTAAGCTCCCGAAAAATACTTTTGCATCCTAAAACAAGCCCAGATTTCAAACAAAGGCATTAATCTATTTACATAAAGACATTTTTAAGTATTAAGAAATTTATTTAGCCAATGAAAGAACACCATGTTATGACATTGTCTGCAATGAGCTTGACATTGTAGAAAATATGAGGCTCATTGACATTGCCCCTGGGTCCGGACAGTTCATCAAACGCCGTTTCATTGAACATTGTTTCATCGAAGCTGTTTCATTGAACGCAGTTTTATCGAACGCTGTTTCATTGAACGCCATTTCATCGAAGTTGTTTCATTGAACGTAGCCTATTTGAGCAGTAGAAATATTTTTCTTTTTAGTGCTGGGAGGATAGCAGTGTTTTAATATTTATTGTAACTTATAAACTTATATATATATATAAAAGGAAGGAACCTTTTTTTGTCACCTTCTATTTTTTTTTTTTTAGTAAATGATGACTTCTGTTAATGAGGCCAATAAGACACGGTAACACTGACGACACTTTTAAAAGCTGTGATCATCAGGTGCAGTGAGGAATGCTCGTCCATTCAAAAGCGTATATATATCTTCGTCCTTGAAGAGACCTATTCTGCTTCAAGACGAAGCCGTCCTTGAGGCAGTGATCTGTCTCCGTGGCCCATGATATGGGGAAAAGAAAAGACGTGTCTCCTCTCTTTGTTAATTTATTATAACCGACAGAACCGTGGATCTGCCGGATATTCGACATACAGTAATATACTCCATCTCAAAGATCCGACAGGTCCACGGTTCTGTCGGTTACAAAAAATTGACGAAGAGGGCAGGCACGTCTTTTTTAAGAACATCTATGTTCTTAAAAAGAAAGCTATTCTCTTAGGATAAAATGAAAACAAAGTTAAATCTACAAATGCAAAATAAAAAAGGTGCGGCAGAAAATAGCTGTTTCCCTCTTAAGAAAGTGCCTTTCACGCATGAATAAATAGAAGGTTGAAGTGGGAAAAAGTGAGTGGCCGAGAACAGCCGCCTACCTTGCCAGAAAAGAATAAGTCGCGTATCCACTGTCTTCTGTGGGTAGGTCACACTTTGCGGTAAAAGTCTAAACTGGATGAAAAGAATGGCTTGTGCATGCAAAGAAACTGTGGTGAAACTGCTAGGACAGATGTAGGCATTTCTTTTTTTATCTTGATGACACTCTCTGCCCTGAAGTAGGCACCCATTTTCTGAATGCAACCAACTTTTTTGTGTTATTTTTTTGCAGGAGCAGTGTGCCTCTTCTCAGGAGTGACTGAGGGGCTGCCACGAGGGGAGAAGGCAAGCATGTTTCTGATTACAAGGATGGACAGTTGGGCTGGGCTAGTTGGTAAGAAATCATGTTGAAAAACGGTGCGAAAACCAGACAAAGGAAAAAGAACACACAGTGCCTTGTCCTGTGTGTTTTCTTATCCGTGCATTTTGCGCTGTTTTTCAGCATGTTTCTGCCTTTATTTTTCTGTTAGTTTTAAATGTTAGTAATTGGTTACTTTGATCCCAGTTGGAAGCATGGAATTGGTTAACCGTGCTAAATGCATAGAATTAAAAAAAAAATATTCATGCTACCTAAATCATTTAAAATGTTTTTTTTTCTAATGATTTCTTTCTCCTTTTTTTACAGCCATCCCATGAGTAGAGTCCCTGTTGTTTGAATTTTTTATGTCAATTTGTAATATGCATATGTTACCTTTAATTTCTATTCATGCATACATTTTAGCCCCAGCTAGTGGTTTCTTTTATTTAATTTATGTACACATTAATGTGGTATTTTTAGAAGATTTAAAATTTATGTTCTTTTTCTAGTCATTTTTGGTTTATTGCCTCCGCTATTTATTTATATGTCCTAGCCCAAGATCGGGTGTAATTTGAGATATATTTAGAATTTTATTTTAGGCTACTTGCTTTATGTTGCTGGGAGTTTTAATATTTTACATTTTTATTTTTATGCAGATCAGCCTTGTAATTTAGTGTGTTCTTTACAATTTTGTAGATCTAATAGCTTGTAAGAAACAGAAGAATTCTCTGGTACTTGTAATGTTGGTTTCGTTTTTGAAATAAATTTATTCCAATAACTTCTTGTTTTCTTCCGGAGTCCTGCTTCTAGGATTTTAAAATGCTGATTCATTAATGGCCTGTAATGCACATCCATTTACTCATATCAGGCACCAGCTCAAAAAATGACTTCATGACAACCATAAATACAGTTTCCTGGCAGCGCTTGTCAATGTATTTTCGGATAACAGTGTTCAGTAATGTCCAAGTAACACATACAGTAATATCTGGCCAGTGCCAGCATATTGTAAAAATGTTTACTGAAAGTTAACAGAATAAAAGCACCGAGGAAAAACAGATGACCGCTCTTTCATTTAGTTACGACGCTCGTTTTTTGGAAGCAAAGACTCGCGCACAGGTCAAGATTAACTGCAAAAGGAAGGCTTGATCAAAGGAACTTTAGGGAGGTAAGGGATGAGTCAGTAACACTCCACCTTCGGTATCTAGTTGATCTCGACCTGTATGTGACTCTTTGCTCCTCAAAAAATAAACGTTGTTGCGAAATGAAAGAGTGGTCGTTTGTGTATGTTCTTCACATTTTTATTCCTTCATTTTTAAGTAAGCCGTAATGTCAGTGCAACATTTTGGTGTAACATTACTGGATGGTAGAATTCGTGGCCATTAACAACAACTAGCAACGTTAGCGACGACGTCCGAGTAACATCACTGATCTAGCATCCAGGTAACAGAGAGCTATGTTACTGCAACATTTTGATGTGACGTTACTGAAAGGTAGAACTGGTGGCCATTAGCAACGTTTGGCAACGTTATCTAACAACGTTCCAGTAACATTATTTGGGTAATGTCCAGGTAACGTATGCAGTTACGTTACTGTAACATTGTGGTGTAACGTTACTGGAGTGTAGAATCCGCGGTCGTTAGCAGCGTTCGGCAACGTTACCTGACAACATTCCAGTAACGTTGCAGCGATATTTTGTGCTACTTGGGTATTTCCTGAATCGGCGCCTCTCATCGCCGCATCGCAGCTGAGCGAAATTCAATGAGATATGTTGCGCTACAGCGACAGCATGGGACTAGTCCCATACGCCGGTATGCCTGTTGGGAAGTGCAGCGAGTCTTCCGGTGAAGACTCCAGAAGTCAACCACCCCGTCATTGTTGGCAGAAGGGCCGGCCCGTGTCAGTCGTTTGCAAAGCGACGTAGATGGCGTTTTTCGCGGCCTCGGAGATGCAGGAGCGAGCCGACGTTAAAAAAGATACGTTTGAACTACGAGTGTCAGCAAGAGCCACGTAAATACCTGTTTACACTCGGAGCGGACGCGCGCGCTTGATGGAAGTGCTGTATTCGCGCTGTTTGTAAGCGCTTCGGGGCCGTTCTTTTACGATTGCAACTCGATACTGACGCGACACTCGGCAAAGAAAGGTTGGACCGGGGTTGTACGTATACCTCCCACGAACTGTTATAGCTCGACAGTGATGTGCAGTCTGTCAGAATAAAAATGGCATACCAATAACAAAGCGAACATACCGTGTTACGAAGGTAATCCATACGGCGTTTATTTCAGCTCTATATCACACAAAACAAGAAGATAGAATCGACGAGAGTCCCTTTTCGACGAGTGTTCGTCAACACTGCCTCGGAAAACAAGGGGAAGAGATTGACCTCACCTCTTAATCTAGAATTGAGGTCAGTGATCAAACTATAATACGGGAAGGGTCCACAAGGGTCGCGCGGGCATATTCCATTTAGCACGCCAGCCGATCGTAGGCAGACGGTCTTGCGACGAAGCAACGCAGCGCCGAGTCGGAATGCCAGCTAGGCCTATATTCTGAGCAGCTCGCTTCGTCGGAGTCGGTGGATCCAGCGTTCTTGTTCGTCGTGGTCTGTTTTAAGTACTGCTTTCTTGCTGCTTGAAGTCGGCACGCGCGGGAAGAACACGTAGAAAAATAAACGTTCAGTCAGCTAGAGTTTTGAGAGGAAGGAAAACAAAAGAAAATAAACGCTCGGCGATCGCCGCCACCCAAGCAACTGTCGGCCCTGCCCTACTGCGCACGCGCAGTAGTTGCTTCGTTTACCACACGATAGATGGCGCTTGGCTCTCAGCATTATCAAATTTGGCGATTTTCACCACACATCTCTAATTATGCTACAAAATGTGGATCTGAATATTATTTAACAAAACTTTTAGGAAACATTCGCCGGCTATTTATAGTTTACGATCGCGGTGCTGGTGAGGTAGGCTCTTGCCCAATAGGCGACCTGGATTTGGCTGACGTGCTCCATTTCCGCGGATGCATCGTAGTGAACAGGCGAAGGAAGGAAGGCGCAAAAGAGTCCAGTTTTCTTTTAAAAGTTCTATAGCAAATAATTTTTTTTGGCTCCCTATTTTTGTGTTTCTTTTCACACCTTTTACGACGTGCGGTGGATTAAACTCGATTTTAAAATCATTTCATGGTCCCTTTAATTCAAGATTAAACAAATGAAAGAACGCTCGGCATGGCTGAAAATGATAAAAGTACTAATAATGCGTTAACGGTATAAAACAGAAAATTATTGTTCTCATCAGCTTATCATTGCTATGTTTTCTTCTTTCGGTCGGTTTAGATCATTTATATTAGAAATAAATTAACCAGCGCAACCCGTAACATTCGATACTAAATGACGTCACTGTTAAAATGAGACGGAAGGACTTGTGTACTCGAGCGCGTCCATATCAATGCTCTTGTCGCTGGTTTCTGCGATCTTTTACGGCGGGGTGTGTTTCGTGTCACGTTTGTGTCTTGGAGCCGTTTTTCGCCATTCTTCACGTCCGTAAACGCCACCGACTTTCCGCTGGACTTCTCAGCGATGCATCACGGCATGTCGTCCGAGAAGTTCGAAGACATCGAAGAGGATCTCCGGGCTCTCCTCGACGACATCAAGCGCAAGTTGGGCGGGACCTGCAATCGCCTTCAAAGCGGCGAAAGCAAAACGACCCAGCTACACGAAGTAGAGCGTAAACTGGACCAGGCCAACGACGTCCTCCAAGAACTCCAGGACGAAGCCCACTCGGCGCCCAACCCGTACCGTATCCAGATGAACGCCGAGACCCCCAAGTAGCGGGCTGAACTCGACGACGTCAACAAGGCGGTTGTCACACTGGCGACCAGCATCAACGCCAGCGGCGCGAGGCAGGAACTCTTGAGCCCTTCAACCGTCATCGGTGACTTTGGGAACGATCCTGAGCGCAGTCGGCTGCTTTAGATGAACGAAACCTTGGGCAGGACCACCGATACCCTCGCGCGAACGTTTCAAGTCGCTGCCGAGACCGATCAAGTCGGGGTTGCCGTGGCCGAAGAGCTGCGCACGCAGCGCGAGTCTCTAGTCCGGACCAAAGAGCGGCTCGAAGAGACCGATCAGAAATTGACGACAAATCGCAAGATACAGCGCATCGTGTACAGGCGCGTGATCACCAACAAACTCATTCTGATCTTGATCATCATCATGGAAATTATCATCTTCGGTGGCATCGTGTACTGGAAGTTCTTTATGAAAAGGTGATTTGGCGATGGTGAATCTGAAAGTCGTGTGTTTTTGCTTTGTTGTGTAGTGTTGTTTTGCCCAATAATTGTCAACGTTGAGAACCCGACGCTGCGCAGATTTTCCTACTGTGATTTTGCGTCGCGGACGACGGGCAATGAAAGCATGTGCCCATATTTATGGATCAATAATATATTCGATAAGGGCGTCAAACAAATAGCTACACATTTTGTAAACTTGTACGGGTTCCGTACTCCTATTCCTACGAGGTATTTTTCGGCAATAATAAACGAGTAAAGCTATACGCACTCCGGAGTGCATTTTGAACGAAATGGGTATACGCACTCCGCACGGAGCTCATGCCGCTCGGGCCACCCTTTTCGAACGGCGCGTGTATCGCTGGGGGCTCGTTAACACAGCCCCCCGCCTGCGTTCACGCCGCTTCGCGGCGACAGTATCGGCTGCTAATTACAAAACTTAACCAGTACACGCCGCTTCGCGGAGTCCAGCCGGCAACCCAAGCCCCGCTGTCCCCGATCGCACCTCCGAAAAGGGAGACCCATACCATTTAGTTCTGCGAAGTTTCGTCGACAACGTCATCGCAAAAAAGAAATGTAAATATCGTCAATGCCTCGACAAAACAAAATGTTTTGAGAAAAAAAAAATAGGCAGATTGTGGATCGAACCCGCGTCCGCTTGCGTACAAAGCGGTCTCCTTCACCTCTATGCTACGCGTCGCTTAGAAAAAACGTTGTGGCCCTTCGTTTTATACGAGTTTAGCGGAGTGGGTATAGCCACTTCGACCGAAATGCACTCCAGAGTGCGTATAGCTTTATTCCTAATAAACTAGACATTAAATCGTTATTTATGACTTGCTTGAAGCTCATTGGGACGCCGCAAAAAAACAGCGATTAATAATTTAAAAAAAAAATGATTCATTTTTAAATCTTGCAGCACAGCGCACACCAAATATCTATTATTTTTGGACCAGATTTTGTGTTTCCAAATAAAGGTTCGAAGTGGCGCTGGTGGCGCCGTGATCGCGAAGGCGCGCGTGGTCGCGCAAACTTGCGCGATCAAAAAACATAAAAATAAGCGACGTATGGGCTTCACACGTGGCCTCACGTGACCCGAACCGGCGCATTTCATTGGCCCGTTTGTGCGGAACCAACCCGTCACGGGGAATTTAGCGCTTTTTGACTCAGCAGCATCGCTGCATTTCTTTCAGTTGGGTTCTGATAGCGCGGTTGGCTCGGGCGTGGGAAACAAATCCACATTCGGACGTCAATACGAAGACCGCACACCGGCTCTGGTCAGTCAGGAAGGTCGCCGAAAGGAGCCCCCATGCAGCCGTGAGTCGGACCCACACCGAGAGACGCGAGATCTTCAAACTGACCCGTCTTTCTATCTGCCCGTGAGCGCAAGAAGCGAGCCGACCGTTTTTTTTTTTTAAACATGGCGAGGCGTCAAGCTCACGTTGCGTCCGTTGTCGACGCCGGCGACAAAAACTCCAGACCCTTCGGGGCTGCCCGTTCCAAGAGGTCCGAGAACCCCGACAGCAAGATGCAGACCCAGGCTTTGACCGAGAGGCCGGCGCTCACCAATTTGCAGCCCAATTTGGTGGCTGGCGGTGGCAAGCAGGCCGGGCCCACGAAGCGGGATTTGGTTCGACAGGTGCGTTTTTTCATGCCTTGTCGCTTTGTTCCAGTCGTTGACGCCCCCCTTTTTTTTTTATTGGTTTCCGGAGAACCTTGATCATTTCTTTAATGTTTTATGTTGTCCTTGTTCATAGATCTTCCCGTGCATGAATATGCGTGTTCATTATGTTGTCTTGAACCATTTGTAAACCTAACGTGTTGTTCGTCGCTTCTCTGTTGTTCGCGAGATTTTGGGGGCGTCTTGGACTTGGGATGTTTGTCGTGAAAGCTTCGGTTTGCTTTAATTCTGCTTGTGTTTTTCATGGTAACTCCGGATTATCTTCGCGACGTTTATTAAGCGTCCTCGTTTCGCTAGTTTGGTTGTGTGCCTTACGTGCGTTTTCAAAAAGACTATTTTGTAGATTTTTTTTTTCTTACCGTGTAAATTTGTTAACAATTATGATACTTTGTTTACTGGATAAAAATATCTCGAGTAGTCCTGATTGCTGCAGGAGTGAACATGCTAGGTCGACGCAGCAAGTGTGCTTACATATCCAGCCTGGATCGGCTTTTCCGAACGTTAGTGCTCGACGCCAGAATCTCGGTATTTTATTATGAGAATATAAATTTTAAAAGCTATGGGAATTGGCAAGCACAGTGCTAATCACACTTGTCTAAACGCGCGAGCGTGCGGCTTTCTCCAGGGAGCGCTAGACTGGTGGCATTCGCGGAAACAAAGCTAGTCACGTGGCGCAACATGAAACGGCCTGCTCGAGGGGTGTCCTGCCCACTCTGTCAGCTTGATAAGCGATAAAAGTAAAGTCCTTTGTAATATATTGTTTTTTGATGACGACATCGTTGATACACGTTAATGCCTTAGTGTGTTTATTGTTCGAGCAATGATGTTTGTAAAAAGCGTGCAAGCATCCTTCCACGTTCGTCACCAGCTGATAGAGTGGGCGTACACCCCTCGAGCGGACCGTTCAATGTTACGCAACGTGACTAGCTTAGTTTCTGCGAATACCACCAGTCTAGCGCTCCCCGGGGAAAGCCGCATGCTCGCGCGTTATAGACAAGTGTGATTAGCACTGTACATGCATCATGTACAAGCCGGTAGTGTTTGGTGCGAACTGCCTTTCGATTGTGCTAACACTTCCATGCTCGTTTGCGTAAAATCATACCTGTTCCCTTTTTTTAGATGTTTTTTGGCAATGCAAAATTTGAACATTCGTCAGCTTTCCGGTCATAGTGATTTTCGCTGATATCTGTGACAGTAACATTGGAATGGGTGGTTTTCTATGTCGACCGTTTCTTAAAGTTTCTTAGTCTTTTTTCTTTATTTAAGACGTGGATACAACTGCTCACTCAGCTTCTCAAACAGTATCTATCGACATTGCCCAGTTTTTGAGGTAAAGAACCTTGCAGTTCACCTGCCCTCTTTTTGAATTCTGGTACATATGCGACGTTGTGCTCTCATTTAAAGGGAGGAACAGAGTTTTTCCCTTGGTAAGAAACTGAGAGCTTGAAGACTTAAGTTTCCTGTTCCTAGCATCCCCCCCCCCCTTTCTTTCTATTGCTACGTGACCTTGTTAACCTGATGCTACAGAAGAGTGCATGTGAGTAGTATGATTATATCAACTAGAAATGGAGTAGTTTCCTCAATGTCAAAATGACGCCACTTCTGGCTTGGTTAGGTTTCTCATGTGCCAAACACAAACAGTAAAAAAAGACTAGTTAGCAAATGTAGCTGGTGCAGTTTAGAGCCACTAAATTTGGCAGAAGTACTGTATACCATAGCGCCAGATTCAGCTGGAGAAATTTAGCTTTAGATTTCTTTAGATAAGAAATCTTGTAGGCTGTCATTGGCCACCATCCTCAAGAAGCACTAAAGGCGTTTCTGAGATTGTCTGTTCTTGGTGATAACTCCTTCTACGAGAACTTCGTATCCCAGAAATCGGGAAATTATGCTTGTGCGACGTCTATTTCCCTGCTGAAAATGTGATCGAAGTTTATGCCACGCCCCTTTCTGAGCGGCAAAATCTGGAGCACAGAATTCAGCACAGGTGCTGGTGCCTCTGCTTGCGATTGCTTGCGATTGGCTGGCGCCTCTGCTGAATTATGTGCTCCAGATATTTCTGCTCAGAAAGACGAGTGGCACAAACTTCGATGACATTTTTAGCAGGGAAATGGACTTCGCACGAGCACAATTTTTCGATTTCTGGGATGCTAAGTTCTCGTAGAAGGAGTTATCACCAAGAACAGACAATCTCAGAAGCGTCCCTAGTGCACCTTTAAATCCGGTGGGGAAAGGGGGGTTATGCAAAATATTTCCACACTCTAAACCTGCGATTTCTGACTGTTCATAAGGTGCATGTGGGCATTTGAGTGTTAAATGAATGAAAAGGTTCGCTAGGGCTAGTTTTGAGTGGTCTACAGTCCGTGGGAAGTTGGGTCTTTGTTCTCTGACAAAGGTGGCCTACCCCAATGTCATGGCGCAATCCGGGCACTTTGAAGCCACCGATGGTGTTAAGATGCACGTGTTTCGCTGCTCTTGAAACATGGTCGCTCTCGCGATGCCCATGCTGAGTGTCTAAACCCGATGGCTGCTCCCTAAGAGCAGCCAACAAGGAGGATATAAGGGTAGGAGAGGGCATGACCGCGTAGCCTCCACAAGCCATGCTCCCTTGACGCCTCTTTCTCAATTTCCTCCTTACTCTCCTCACTTATCAGCCCACCATGACCACGTGACCGTAGCTAGCCTTCGTCTAGCCTTCGATTTGATAAAAATTACTGGACGGAGCGCGCACAAGCCTGCAAGGAATCCTTCTACAATCAACCATCCATCTCACACGTGTTATTCGGAGAGATCTACGATCACATTGGCCACAACATCATTTAAACTTTTTATGACTAGGCTTCACCAATATTGCAACGTGCCCCCTCCTAGTACAGGGTGTCACAAAAGAAAATTTAAACGGTCTTTTTTACCGCAAAAATAAACTAGGCATCGCCGAACGCTCATTCTCCGCCCAAAGGTAGAGCTAGAGGTCACAGCCAGAGGCCAAAGTTTCAGCCCGATCCGATAACTTAATCAAAAGTTATAAGTGATTTTCGGAAAATTTCAATGGGAAAATGGTGGCCGACGGCGTTTTCAAACACATGGGGCTCTATGGCGCTAGAAACCGAAAACTGGAAAAAATGGGCTCCATTTTCCTATTGAAATTTTCAGAAAATCACTTATAACTTTTGATTAAGTTACCGGACTGTACTGAAACTTCGGCATCTGGTCGTGACCTCTAGCTCTACCTTTGGGCGGAAAATGAGCGTTCGGTGATGCCTATTTTATTTTTGCGGAGAAAAAGACCGTGTAAATTTTCTTTTGTGACACCCTGTACTTAAAACCTCCTTGGCAGCCAACCTGCTTTTCTCTGCTCCTTGCAATAATTAAGGAGCTTCTCTGATCTGCGCCCAGACATCCCGTGCAAAGAATGCCTTAGTAATACATATGCGAATCTGGGCAGCACCACGTCTAGAAGTCGAGTCGTGGTGCCACATCGCACCGCGACTCAATCCCCAACGTCGCTGCAGTTGCTGGCAGATATAAAACGGCGTGTCTTTGAATTGCCAGTCCTCGAACACGTGCTTCATGCCTTCTGCGTGGCTGTGCACGCGTGCTGCAGGTGTAGGAGTTGACGAAGGTAAGGCAGTCGCGCTAGAGTAGGGAAAACTGGAGCTTTCGACTGTTTACGACACGACTACACGACTGCATTCCGTGTTGCGAGACACCGAGAAGTCGCATGCCCAGGTGATCCCCCGCGGCGCCCCCACCGAACGTGGCGGAACGGTAGCCCAGGAAAGTTAGCCGGCAATGGCACCGTGGGGCTACACCGCTGCGGAACGGCTGCACCAATCCCGACTCTGCCCCCTTTAAAATGCGTTCCTGATTAACGAAGGACGCCTGACTCTCCGCGTGGCTCTAAAGCGACTCCAGTCCGGGGTGTACGGTGCCCTTCTTCGGTCGCTTTGTCTTTCGATTGAATCTACGGTGGCAACGACGTTCGAACGCAGCAATCCAACGCCCGGCGGTCGGCCAGACTGAGCTGCAGAGGATCCAGTTTGTGCCCTGCTCCACCAAGCTTCGAGATCTACGCAGAGTCGTCTGCCGCACGGGGGTCGCAAGTCGACGTCAAGGCTGCTGTCCCCGCCGTTGCTCCCGACGAGGACGGCGAGAAGGCTCTGCATTCCGATGATCGGGGGGCGTCCAGCGATGTCTGCTCAGACTCTCCAGACTGGGGAATGGAGTGCGAGGCCGCGGGTGAGTCTGCCGCAGCGTCCCGTACCTGCGGACCGTCCGTCGGCGCTGCGGCTTTTCCGACAACTCTTCCACACCGTTTCACCAAGTTCAGATGCAGCCGATGGGACCGACCAAAGAGCTTCGAAAACGCGAATTACTGAGCCTTTCCCGTAATATAAGGACCACCGCATATATGCACTTATTGCGCTGTGGTTAGCCCCATTGGCTCATGGCATAAGGAGCCTCCAGACTTAAAGGTGCCCTAAAGACGTTCCTGAGATCGTCTGTTCTTGGTGACAACTTATACTACGGGATCTTAGCACCAGAGAAATAAAAAAAAGTATGCTCGTGCGACGTCGATTTTCCCACTAAAAATGTGATTGAAGTTAGTGACACGCCCCTTTCTGAGTGGAAACCTCTGGAACACAGAATCCAGCGGAGGCAGCCGGGTGACGAAAAGTGAGTGTCTGCCAGGCCGTGTGCCCGTTGTCACGCCTCCGCTGGATTCTGTGCTCCAGAGTTTTCCGCTCAGAAAGGGGCATATCACTAACTTCAATCACCTTTTTAGTAGGAAAATGGACGTCGCACGAGCATACTTTTTTAAATCTCTGTGGTGCTAAGATCCTGTACAATGAGTTAGCATCAAGAACAGACGGGCGGATGCAGGAATTTCCTGACGGGGGGTTGGTGTCAGGTATTGGTCAGCGTACCATATGTTTTGGAACCCCCTTTCCTCGTTGCACGCCCTAAATTTTACACATTCAGAAATCAAGGGGGGGGGGGGGGGGGGTCAGGGCATCCGGACCCCCCCCCCCCCCTCCGCCTCTAAATCCGCCCCTTAGAACAGACTATCTCAGAAACGTCTTTAGTGCACCTTTAAAGTAAAAACAGCCTTGTTAGCTCACGTGTCCAGTCTTTACGCATTGACAAGTGCCAGAGAGGCTCCTACCTGATGCACACCTGTTCGGACATTTGCATAGAGTGCGACAGACTGGTGAACGCGAGGCTTACTCGAGGAGTCGCGGCGTAGTTTGTCACACTGAAATTCAAATGCCCGAATCCACCTTTATTCGACGGCTCCTGCGTCTCGTTTCGTCGCCGCTCTGGAGATGGTGTAATGCGTGGGCGGAACAGGAGGCCGGGCGCTCCGGTCAAAACGTGTTGGGGGCGGCACTTTGGTTGCACCGACGAGCGGACCCCCCGCCGTCTTCCCCTCTCTCTCCAACCGGGGAACCCTGCCGACCCTGGACCCAGACTCCCCCACGGTCCTGGACAAGCCCATGTCATACATGGAGATCCGGGACTTGGAGGCCAGCTTGGAGTACGCCCAGGACATCTACACGCACCTCAGGCAGCGGGAGGTGGGTGGGTTTCTTTTGGTCACGCTGCTGCTGATATGCCAACACATCCGTTTGCAAGGATGTGTTGGAAGCATACATATGTAAGAAGCAAACGTGCTCCATGCACGCACCGTACCTTTTGTACGTTGTACGAGCAGTGTGACTGCGGCATGGCGAGACGGTGCCGCTGCTTCGTTTTGGAACGGCTTCGCCGCGGCCGGCGTGGTAGAGCCACCGAATGGGCCGCTTTCTCCACCGGGGTCAGTTTGCTAGGGAATGTGGGTATTGCTGCCAGTGGTTTGACTGTCGCATGACCGGCTTCCTGAGGACGAGGTACCTACAGAAAACTCGAAGTCTACTGTTTTCTGCTATGTTGTCGAGCGTCTCTTGTGTTGTGCTACAGCTCGGCACTGCTGCGAGAGCGCGCCTTTGTCTTGCATCTTGTTTTCACGCGCTCTCGTGCAAAGGAGACTGTGTAAACGCGTTGTAAACGTAAATGAGGTGTAGTTAAATGCAAGATGAAGGAACGCCGATCCAGTTGTACGACTTCCATCACCTTCCTTTAGTTATCTCCTTTCTGTTTTGTCTTTTTTTTTTTTCTTTGGACGATACAGCGCTCGAGCGAATGGCTTTTACGGTGTGCGAGCACTGTGGAAAATGCGCCAACCTCGACTCTGCAGCGCAGCATAGGTGACTCGGAGATTGGCAAATGGCTGCCATAAATAGTATCAATAGTGAGAGATGGGCTAGTTGGTATATCATTCCTTTTGACAGAAGTGTCACGAGACATGGACAGAAGGGAAGACGTAGCACAAGCGCCCTTTTGCCACAATTCTGTCCTCACTTAGATTATTCAAGTATGCTTTTGCACGGGCGAGAAGATGAAGAGGCCTGAAATGCGAGACTAACCGCATTTGTCTGCTTTAGGAGTGGCATGTGAAGTTAACTCTGGGAAAGATAGTCTTGGAGTGAGAGTAAAAAAATATGGGCAAGGGTCTGACGAGCGATATCGGCTGGAACGCTATTGCCTGTGTTACTAGTTGCATGCGGTTCAGGCAAAGGCAGCGCCAGGTGAGGAGAAGGGGCAAGCACTAGGAAGGCTGTCGACGAGGAGAGAAACCTCCTTTCCTCTCCAAGGTTCGTAGCGCTCTGCCTTTTTCCCCTCGCCTTCCTAGTGCTCGCCCTTTCTCTCTTTGCCTGGCATTGCCTTCGCCTGCACTGCACAGAACTAGTGACATCGAGTACAGGTACTTTCCGTCCTCTGAGGCAATCACGTCGCCAGATAATCTCTCGCCGGGAGAAATAGCCGCATTCACCAGCGAACTTCTCCGGGGAACGTTCCGGACTCGAGGACACCCCAATGTGGAGATTGATGCAGTAAACGGGGCATCTCCCATTCTGGGAACTGTGGAAACCGTGAGTTGTTGGGGGAATTCGGCGATTCTGTAAAAGCCGGGGACTCTCCACCTTGATCGGCACCGGTCGGGCAAACTGTGTTGCCTTCCTTCGAGTGACTGTAAACGATGAGCGTCTGGTGCAGGCCACATTGCACGCGACTCCGCTTGAAAACTAGTCTTGGTGGAACCTGAATTGCAGCCTCTCGAAACTCCGGCACCAGGACTAACTTGTCTGCTTGCGCTTGCACGAGTGCGCTTGCCCAGAGGTTTACTTAAACCTGGATATTTATTCTGCAAAAAATGTCAGACTGATAAGGTAAAGGGATTTTTTAAATGCCTCAGTGAGGAGGTTAAGGAGCCCCCGTTCCTCACAAGATATACATGGTGTGCGTGAAGTGTATGGCTTCTAGTTAAGCATTGACAGGTGGCTTAGATCTGCTAAAATGGCACTTAAACTAAGGAAACGCTTCACTCGGGGGCGGGGACGTTCGAGGAAATTTGGGAGTTTGGAGAGTCCTGGAGGAACCCCCTACGTCCCCCAAAGGGCAGTTTGGGAACCCAGAGTAGTGACGCCGCATTCCCCGATGGTTTCGCAAAGTATAAGAGCACTCGACTATAGCTACCACTCGAATTGGGGACTTTGTGAACCTTAGATATGGCGTCGAGAGGCTCGGGCAACATCGTCTCGCTCAGTCGCGGAACTGCTTAAAGAAATGGTGAACCGAAATTTCAATTTAAAAAAAACAATGCAGGAGATGTAGGCTGGACGCTACAATCCCTACAACACTACTAGTAAGGCGATATCTCGAACGGACGGCCGTATTTTTGGGAAAAAAGATCGAGACTGGACCAGGCCGACGAAGCGCGTGACGTCAAGATACCTTGTTTCCTCCTCTCTTCGCTTTGCTCCCTCAAGGCGGCAAGGCTGAGAAGACGCGAGGCAGTTTCCTCTTTCTGAGAAAAACATGACGTTAACATTTCTGCCAAATGCGCCTCGTTTTTTAAAAAATACGGTTATCCGTTCGTGATATCGCTGTATGAGTGATGTTATGGTGTTTGTAGCATCCCGTTGCACGCTTTTGCCGCGTGTTTTGGGGAATCCAGATTTCGGTTCAGCATCCCTTTCAGCTGTTCCACAACCTCAGACGAAACCTTGGTTAACCAGCAACGACGAGTTTGAGCAATTGAACGAAACTGTCCATCGTGCAGGCTTCCCACAAGTCCTTGAAAGTGTCGGAACTCTGAGCCGTCATTTTCAATGCCTCGTAAGTTGTTGAAAATATATAAAAAATGTTGCGGCACTGTGAGAACGGCAAAGGGTGCAGGACCTCGAGCACGCCTTCTCACGCGAGTCACTCACGGCTTTCCTGTTCTCTCCCCGGGTGCGCGAAGGAGAAGCTGACCCCGAGGCAAACGTACATGAGCGAGCAGCCGGACATCACGTCCTCGATGCGCGCCGTCCTCGTCGACTGCCTGGTGGACGTAGCCGAGGAGTTTCGCCTGCTCCCGGAGACGCTCTTCCTCGGCGTCTCCTACGTTGACCGCTTCCTCTCCGCCATGTCGGTGATGCGCAACAAGCTGCGGCTCGTCGGCACAGCCGCCCTCTACATCGCCGCGTGAGTGGACTCTTCTGCCGTACGGCCGGCAGGTCGGCCAAAGCGTTTATCTTCGTGCGTGAGAGTAAAGGTGCTGACGTCACGCTCGTGCTCCGATCTTGATTTCACCCAACACTGATGCATGTTCTTTCTTTTTTTTATGGTTAGGGCAGCTTTTATGGCACAAGCCCAATTTATGTGCCCCATGCACAGGTGATAGAAGCGCTGCGCTTAATTGCATGATGAATCTTGGTACTTCTTGCGCCAGAATGCCATTTTTGCTAAGAATTGTGCCTCACGTGCGCCTAGATGGGCCTAAAGCAGAAAAAATTGATGTTTTATTATTGGTCCGCTTTAATATTTGGGAAAATAAAGGGAAAGAAACATTTTACAAACATGAATTTTACGGCGTCTCTACACACCGAATAGTTTGCTTCGTCTTAGGTCAGAGCACTGGCAAAGGCTCGAACGCCTACAACCAAAAACTCTCGTATAATCAGTGCAAGTCACGGGGCTATTCATTGCACTTGACTGGTTTAGCCGATGAAAGCACAGGTACAGGGGGACGACGAACGCCACGATGTCACGCTTTGAAGCGGCAAATCAACTGGGCAGAGCCGTTGATGCTGGGCATCGACCGCTCTGGCCGCTTGATGCACTGGCAGGTTAATCGCCGACGTCTAAATTTCCAGTCGATTTCGGAGACCGAGTCTTGAGAAGACTGTTGCAAAATACTAAGATAGTTGATTCCAGCTACTCATACTCCTGATAAGAGCACTCAGTTATCGTGTCTGCCACATGCCTCCATGTCATGGCTGCACCTGGGCACTTGCGCCGCTTGCGTTAAACTTTACTTCCTTTCATCAGTGTGCGCACGTCAAGCTTCACTGCCTTTCACCAGAGTGCTACGAGCAGCGGCTGTTGTGGGGCGGCGCCTGGCCTAACGCGATGGGCATGCAAATTATGCTCAGGTTTATTACAGGTTGAGCTTTGTCCTAATTGAAAATTAATCTCTTAAAAAAAAAGCAGAGAAAAAGGGAGAAAAAAACAAGGGTCTATACCAGGGGTGGCCAAGCTTCGGCTCGCGAGCGACATGCGGCTCTTCGCATGTTAAAATGCGGCTCGCGGCTCCCTCTCCTACACCCCCCCCCCCCCCCCCACACACACACACACAGACAGACAGACCTAAGACAGAAATAGAACGAGTTTTAAATCGAAAGACGGATTGCGGTTTTGTAGTCTTATCTGCTTTTGACTCGGATAGATTGAAAGTTCTTAGAGTTTCGTTTATTGCTCTCAACAGAAGGGGTTGCCCTTACATGCTGCTACACGTTGAAAAGAAACAAACAAAGACTGCCCGGTTGAATGGGGCAGGCAGCAAACACGGACACCATATGGAAGTACAACCTGCTCTATTCGGGTGTGGCACTCGAAGCGTTAAGGCTTGTCCACGCATTTGCATCGACTGCATTGCGTTGAGCAGCACAGCTGCTTCGCATTGGCTTAGCGTAGGGGTCACCATAGCAACAGCTCGACGCAAGCAGTCTTAACGAGACGCAAGTGGCTGCAGTCGTGTGTAGGAGCCTTTAAGCCATTCGTGACTTATTCGGTGCCTCCTCCTAGATGAGCATCATTCGACAAACTCTTAGCAGAGTTGACACCATTTGTTGTGTTTGGGTGTCGCCAACCGGTGGCTTAAGAAACGCCCTTCTGAACGAGCAGTTCGGGCACGACTAGCTCGTACGGCCGGAAGGCCGCTCTCGTTTCTCTCTTACCCTTACTAAATGCGCCATTTATCTGTAGACCAATTGGTGCATCTGTCGTGGGCGCTGCAGGAAGTTCGAGGGGATCTACCAGCCGGAGGTGTCGGAGTTTGTTTTCATCACGGACGACACATACTCGAAGCAGCAGGTGCTCCGGATGGAAAAGCTGGTGCTCAAGGTGCTTTCGTTCGACATGGCGGACACCACCATCTACTGCTTCCTGCTCCGCTTCGCGGAAGTCGGCAATACCCCGGACACCGTCAAGCACCTGGCTCACGTGAGAGGCTTTCTTCGATTAGCTGCCACCTTTGCCCTCAAAGGCCGGTGCGCACCCTTGCGACCGCTTGCGACTTGATACATTACGACCTTGCGCGATATCCTAAACGGGAACTGGAATGGGTTCTAAGATTGTCTGTTTATGACGACGACTCATTCTGCGGGCTCAAGTCTTCCTAAAAAGACCTGAAATTAAGCTCAAGGGTGGCAATTGAATGTATTAAAAATCGAACCGAAGATTGTGACACGCACTTCTTTCTGCGCCTTAAAGCAGACACTGGGGGCGACGTCGGTTGGCATTTTCACTAAAGCCTAGATTGAAGAAAGGATCCGTCTTAAACCGTGGGGAGCGTTTACAATTTAATGGCGGACAGCTCCTGTGGTGATCGGTTGCAAGCGCGCTGTGTTTGCGGGTGGCGAGGAGGAAAGGCGGAGATGTTTGCAGACGATCAACGCTTATGTCACCTCCTCGCAGCTCGTTTTGCCAATGGGGCCCATAAACCACATCACCCCGATCGGGCACCCAGAGATTTAATTGTCGAAATATAAGGCTTGATGCACTTAAAGAGCAATATTATAGATATGCGATTTCACGCAACTCCCTCTTTTTATTGGTCAAATTTTATCGAGGGGGTGGAGACCGGAGGATGCTTCTCCCTCCCCACTCCCCGAAGAGGAAGTAGTCGTGGTGTATTTTTTGCTGGTAGTTTACTATGACATCTTGCCGTCTAGAACTGGTCATTTTTATTTATCAAGGCCCAATGAACAATAGGCCATTAAAAATGAGCGTCTACGAAAAGCACGGGAGGGCTCCTTTAAGACGAAAGAAAATACTGGCACAATCTATGAGACAACTTCGGAACTGCATTTCACTACAGTGAAGGTTTTGCAGTATTTTCGCCTGTTTATGACATTACCGTAAAGTTCCGAAAGAACGCCCACCCAAAATGAAGAAATGAATGGTGAAAAACAGGGGTGGCGTATCTTTGGGGACGCCATAGCAAAACTTTATCAAAAACTGGCTACAAACCACGTGATACGGGAACTGGTAAGGCAGATCGTGAACACTGCGAATTCGAGTGTTTCAATGCGATAAACTCGCAGGAATTAGCTACAAACTCCCGTGTCCCGAGAAATGATGCCGCAGGTTGTGGACACTGCAGATTCGCGTTTCATGGTGCTAAGGACCCACCGAAATCTGCCGAGAACTCTCAAGGGAGCTAATACCGCAAATCACGGACGTAGCAGATGGAAGTTTTATGGTGCGATAAACCCGCGGGAACCCGCTACAAGCCTGTCTGTCACGGAAACCGATATCGCAGATCAAGGACAAAAAGGCAGGAGCTGATATCATATGCGCAGATCGCAGACGCGGGAACCCGTTATAAACTCGCACACAAACTATAAACCGCTATAACCTCGCTGGTGCAGCAAATTACGCGGTTGATGCGATTCTCATCGGACATTGCGTTCGACGGGAATCGGGGGGTGGGCAGTGTTTTGGAATTTTTATGTTGCAGATATTTAGCCAGAAAAACGGGCGATCTCTCGGGGGTGGGCGTTCTCTCAGAATAGAAAGGTTTTCAAGAAAGTCTGCTTTTTGCATCTGCGGTGACGTCAGAACGACGCCGGGCTCCGATTGGCTTTGATTGAAAAAAAGGTAGACCTCTCTGCTAAGTGCCATCAGGTCTACCCACTATTTTTCCATCAGCCAACAAGAGATCGTCATTCTGACATTATTGACACCCCTGCAAAGAAGCAAACCAACTTGCGCTCTGCATAGAAAAAGAATGATGTGAATAAAAAATGGGAAATGTTCAGAAATCGCAAGACTTCCACAGCTGCCCGACAGATGGCGCCGGGGGTGCTCTTGCACGGTAAGGGACCGCAAGAGGTTGTGCTCTTCACATCGGTGTTTTGTGGACGCATTTTGCCGGTCTATGCAGTTGTCTGCTACGCAATTTATGACGTCGACTTTATGTAGATTTTGCCGGCAATGCCATGGAGCTGCGAAAAGCCATTTTCGACGTTTAGGAATCGGTGGAGTGTAGCAGTTCAGTAATTTCAGAAATGAGAATGGGCTCTGTGTCTCCACTCCTGGGAGTTGAAAGGCATAAACTAATTCCCTAGAATTTGGGCGGGGCAGAAAGTGCTTGGTCCACAACACTGGCCTAAAGGGGCATCTACCCTTTCCATCAAGCGTGTTAATTATGAGAAGTTTGGAAGTGCATTCTGTCTGCTTGTAAACCAGTTGCCACTCGAGTATAGCCCGGCATTTCTTCCAGTATCTGTGCGAGCTGACGTTCCTGGAGGACGACCCGTACCTTCAGTACCTGCCCAGCATCGTTGCCGGTGCGTCCTTGTGCCTGGCAAATCACACACTCAACCGATACCCGTGGGTGAGTCTGACTTATCAATCGGTTAGCGTTCTTATACCTCGTGGTGAACGGCACTGAGGATGTGGCTAGAGAAGCAGCGGTGCTAACACTCCCCCACCTCTTAAAAGGCCGACTTCGCGCTTTCCACTTTTGCTGTCCTTCTTTCCTATATGCTCTCCAGTTTTTATCTCGCCCCAACTTGGCTCTTCTTGCAGCTAAGGAGAGGGGAAAGCTAAGAGGATATTCTTCCCTGCAGTAAACCGAGGTTGTACGTCGGTCTTTCAAGAGACAATGGCATCTCCGCAAAATTACTTTTATTTTTTGCCAGGCGGTTTAATCTGGTGTCGGGAGACTACCAACCAGTTCAACGCGTGTTTCGTGAGTTACGACAAATAACGAGTAATAGAGGTAGTACCGTCAGTAGCACAGCACGAAGAAGGAGGGAGTATATTCACGGCGTAAGAAAAATGGGCAACGTTTCCAGTAAAATTTGTAGCACATCTCTCGTTTTGTTTTATATGAATTCATGAAAACTTAGTTTCAGCTCCCGTTCAGCGACCTCACGCCGACTGAACGGGAGATGCTTCTAAGGACGCAGAACTCTGGACTGGCGACCGATGCAGTATTGTATTTTCAGAGGTGGCCGGTTTTGGTAGTGAGGTGGTGGTTCAAGAGGTGCTGTCGTGTACCGGCGCAAGGCTACGTGGATGGCCTTGAATGCCGGTGGTGGCGATGTCTTGCCTTGCCAATGTCGGGAAAGGAGTGCCAGCCGCTGCTGCAGCCGTCGTCGATGCCGGGGAGTTGACGTCGGGCTCATCCGCGAAGGCGACCCGGTAGCGGCGGGGGCCCGCGTCCTCGCGGGCCCCGCCGATGGCGAGGAAGGACACCGGCGACTGTCTGACTTCTTTATTCCAAATCTCAGGGTCAGCTGTTCCAAAGCGATACTAGCACGAGCTGAGCACGCGACACTGCGTGTGGGGCACGCGCTTTTCTGGTTCAGAATTCAAGCCGTACGACCGCTCAACTCGGAATACTACATGCAGCAATGCTGCGCGTTGCTGCATCAGTCGGCAGCTTATGCAAACTAACGTCGCCCGATCGACCGCACGTCTTTAGCCGACCTTTCGCGCAACCTACTACTGCACATAAACGCGGCATGATTGGTGAGACAGCAGTTCGCAAAGCAAACACAAGACGACACACGAAACCAAAGCCAAAAGTCCGCCGCCCCCGGCGCTCGTACCTCGTTTGCTTTTTTTTTGTCCATGGTTGCTCGATGCTTGTTACGCGCCTGAGGTAGCAGTGCGGGATGCATTCAACCAGTGACAAACGGAGGGATCGCTTCAGATTATGCTTTCATACACGGTATGAAACCTATTAATTCCCAACTACAACTTCAAGATATTATTCAACGTTCAAATAAACTTTTTTCATCACATCTCACCACCGAAATGGAAACCAAGAGCGCGTCTATCGTTTGAACCAATCGCCAGACGAGGAGCCCGTTGTCGTCACGCTTTAGTTCACCTTTCTGCCGCCGCCTCGGTGGGGTCTCAGGCATCGTTCCCGGCGCTCTTATTACCGCGCCTGTTTGCTCGATTGGTGCGGCACCCAAAATTCTATTCGGGCTAGAACTTGGTCAACAGTATCTGAGACGTGCCTGACATCCATTTCAATCGTCGAATAAAACTTCGAAACTGCCTTCATGGTCCCTTTAAGTTTCGGATTGCTTAATATTTTCGAATTATTCAACACATTGAACCTTAGAAGAGTTATAATGTTGCAAACTTTTCAAATTCGTATCTAAGAGTGGTTTGAACATTTCGAAACCTTTAGAACTCGAACTTAGGGAGGTTCGCGGCATCCCTAAAAAACGTTTGCAAACCTCTTGAGGGTAACATTAATTGGTTCGTGCTTGTCGATGCGGACGTTCCAGTTGTAGGTCCTGCAACAGATGCTGCGATCGTAGACTTTGCGTGCGGCTGGGGCAAACACGAAGTGACGTTGGAGAGGCACTCAGGAAACGCCAACGACTCCGGAGATGCGAAACACCTTACAGCTACTTCAAAACAAAGTGGAGTGCGGTGGCGGTGACAGTGTTCTTGCAATGCCTGGAGCAATTCGAGGAGAACTCGTGCCAGGATGAAATCATCTGCAAACTCCCATTCAGTTATTCTTTTACTCTATAAATCGGCCTCAAGATGTTCATAACCAAGGTTGGTTTGATTAAATGTACGGTCAGAGTTTACCGTAGTCTTACCATCCGCCTTCAAGGTGTTGGAACTATTTTTTTGCCTCTCTCGCTTTTATCGAATTACCACCATATCCAATTTTTTTGCGCTGTCCCCTTGACTTTAATATAGCTAAGGATTACTGTAGTTTAAACGCCACGTGACCATAGAAAAAAGAGTGAGCGCCACTGAAACCGGCTGTTTTATGGCGGAGAAAAAACGAATTTCCAGCCAATATATTTCGAGGACACCTATGCACTTATGAGTTGTTAATGGGAAAGCATGAATGTCGACCTTCCGTTCCCTCAGTTCGTCTGCGGCGTCATGGCGTGGACAGCCAGGTTTTGCTTGCCGACGGCCGAGCACGCGCTCTCGTGAAGTGGCTGCGCTCAGCTCGGCCGTGCACCCTTTCTTGAGTTTGCCCGAGTAGGCTCTGCGGCCAGGTCCGCACCTCGCCGGGCCGCTGCGTACACTGCGCCACCATGGAGAGGGGTTCTCTGGTGGCGTCCCTTGGAACCTTGGAGCCAATGGGAGCCTCGTTCCTTAAAAACTATGACATGCGCCAGCCAATGGGCCGTCAGATTTCTGCTACATACGACATTTGGAAGGGGGAAGGCGCCGTTTGGCGCGGTTTCAATGCTGATGACTGCGGTTCGCTTCATGGGTCCAGTTAATGCTTTCGCATTAAAATTGTGTTATAGGTGGTCCGGCTCTTGTAGGTCATGTTAAAATGAGAACCTCAGAGAGCATAGATACCCTGCCGCCCTCGTACAGTAGTTAGTTCTTCATTGTACTGACAGCAAGACTCCTTTTTTAGTGTTCTAGTTCTGACGTCCAATGCGAGTGTTTGTTTTGCATGTTGTGTTACTGACACCCTAGTTTAGGTGGGCGGTTCCTTGCCGACTTGACCCATTGCGTAGCGGCCAAGCGGAGCACTTGTGACTTTTTATGCAGACCTTCATGAGCCATAGTTTGGGCCTAAAAGCCATTGAAGTCTGTTGTGCTTAAAGGGGACTCCCACAACATTTTTTTCAGCCACCCCAACTAACTCGGTTCTTTGAATCGCCGGTTCTTTACCCACTCTGGTATACTCTTTTGTATCGCAAAAGTCAAAATTTAGTTATCGTGAAATGGGCAAATGAGGGTGATGTCAAACACAACATTCAAATATACCTGTGCTTTTCAGTTTCACATTACAGACGAGCAGGGAGTCTAAATACCGTATTTACACAATTGTATGTGACCCCCCCCCCCCTGAAAAAATTCCACAGCAGCAAAAAAGAAAGTTGATAGTTTGGAGGCACATTCTATGGCAAACATGTGAGAACGGCAGGGCGTCTCTCAAAACCTCGGCCTCCAGCATGCATTCGATGCCTTCTGCCGTTCTTTAGTCGGTCACGCACATGCGTGGCGCACGAGATGCCGGAGAGTTATCAAAGCTGGAGGCAGAACAACTGAAGCTGCTCCCTGTCCTTCTTGCTCTTTGTCTGCTACTAGACACTGATTTGTCGGTATCATCCTACAAATTCTCGCACTTAGCAAATGACCGCATCTTCCGCGCTTCCTCTGTGATCGCGTCGCCCGTCACGGGCAGCAGCCGATCGCGCACTTCTGCGACGTACGTTGCAAGCCTACCTCTAATTTCGGAAAGCATCTGGACCTATCCAGACTTTGGCCCTCAGAAGCCACTCAGTTTGTTGCCATGATTAAGCCCCTCTGCCGTTGCAGACGCTGCTGCCGCCCGTTTTGACGGGTCCAACTTGCGTCCAGCAGCGCTGTTTGCGGTCGCATTCGGATGAAATACGGGCCGTAAATGAGCACCGAAAACCGAAGCTGTCTGGATCACAAGTGTCGATAGAAACTTATTTGGCTTTCCAGCAAGCTTCCATGACCTCGACTTTCGATCAAACGATATGCGACCGTGCATTTTGCGAAAAGCAGGGGAGTGAGGCTGTTCCATGCTCGTTCCGAAGGGGCTCTTGCGTCAAGTGCCGTAACCCTTGTGATACAGGCGCGTCCGTTCCCCGCCAAACATTCAGGCTGGTTCGCGAATGGAAATAATACTTTTTCGTGCAATAATGAAGAGGAAAAGTTGTAAAATGAACGTCCAGAATGGCGCAATGCTACAGATTCAACCGGCTGAAATCGAGCAGAAGTGTTCTTGATGTCGCAATTTATTCATTTTTGTCGGCTGTGGAATGCTTTGGTTCTACGAGTCGACCTACAATCAAATAAAATGCAGTACAGTATGCCAAGCATTTGTTTCATGCTGCAGCATGGGTGGTTGATCGCGCTTCCAGAACATTTATTTGATGCCATGAAACTGCTTGTAATCAGTGGGAACCTGTTCTACATTCCACAAATGAACCCCTACCTGCCGCTGGCGTCACTTTTTCATTGTTGCCAGTAGAAACTTTCAGTCTCAAAACGAAAACCGAGGACAAACATTGTAAATTTAATAAATTGGCGGAAATGTTTTGGCCAAACAATTTGGTTAATTCGGCAGTGTTTGTTGTGTGGGAGCGGTGGTAGGCCCCAGGAAGAAATAACAAGTTTAAAGATTAAGATAACTGCTTATTACGGAAAAGAAAGGTTTGTCTGAGTCAGTGGGACGGGCGGAAGCAACTGGAAAGAGAAGAACGTGGGCTTGGAGTACTTTGAGGCGATGGCAGCGGGCGAGGGCGAGGCTAGTTTATAAAGTGAGGGGTAAGGTTACAGCTGCGGCGAAGAAGTCGGCTGCCGGGGCTTGCGAGCAGTCGACTTGGCATGTGTTTACATTTGGGCGATGGGTAGAACTGAGGGCGAGAAGAATTGACGGTGGGTTTGAACGGCGAGGGCTCGTTGGCTCTAGAGAACTCGGGTTGCGGGGAGCAATTCGGAAGGAAAGAACTGAGCGGAGGCGGCAGAGGGGATAGAAGAATAACAGATGGCTACGGTTAACATATGCTCAGAGTTGAGTCAATTTTGAGGCAAATCAGGGACTATGAAGAAAACGCAGGAGTGCCCCTTTAACTTCCGCAATCCATACGTCTTTTCCTCCTCATTGCGTGCAGTCCTCGGACCTGGTCCTCTACTCTGGCTATAACGTGGAGGACTTCAAGGAGTGCATCCACAGCCTGCACAGCAGCTTCTGCAATGCTGGCACACAAGCACAGCAGGCCATCCAGAAAAAGTTCCTGTCCTCCAAGTGAGTCTACTGCACTGCATGCCTTTTTGTTCTGTGCTCCCTTGTGAGCCCTTGAATTTCATTGTCAAGACTCCTGTGACAAAAATGACCATGTGGGGAACATCGATTTAAAACTTGATATCTTGGCCTTGTCTGGCCGCTTGTTTCGAGAAAGCAGCAATGATTGACGGTACTTCGGGCATGGTGTCAAACATCCTTTGCAAAAATGGGAAGACATTGGTGAGAACATCGGAGGTGGCATTGTTGCTGTCATGCAGTATAATCACTGGTAGTACCATGGCGTTCAGAACGATGCGGTTCTACTTCCTTTGGGAACTCCCAAGTCCCTTGTAGTTTTACAGGGAGCTGTTAAGGGCTAGTTTCCCCAACTACCGTCATCTATGAGCAATGGCGGCAACCTTTCCAGCCTTTCCAGTGTCATCCTTGAGGTACAGCTTTGCTGGTCTTCCTTGTTCACCAGAGTGGAAAGGCTGAAAGTTTATTTAGGGGAACCCTTTTATGGTATTTGTGGCAGTGAAGAGGCATATTACTCGGTGTTCAAGCAAACTTAAAACCGCTGCACTCTGCTAGCCCCCCTGATGCGAGATAACCAAATGACACATTCTTCAATAACTATCGTTCCTTTGGCTTTTCGCAGCAGCTGTATGGTGATAGTGCCAGGCGTTGCCATACTTTTATCTATGTCGAATTCGGGTGGTCAATCGTCGGCAATTTATTTTTCCAGAAAACTGGCAATAGTGTTTCCTACCTGCCAATTCTTCCGAATTTTTTGAGAAATTTATGAATTGGGACTAACTTTAAAATTTTATAAATGTTGCTTAAGATTAAAAAAAAATGTGATAATTCTTTTTAATTTTTTTTTTGTAAAAATTGCGGTATATTGCACATCTACAAGAGGGCGATAGGTACCATCCACGGCAGCGTCGTGGTTTTTACTATTTGTCTATCCAGTAGCCACGGATCCAAAACCAATCCAAAGCCCAAAGCCTTTGTTCATGTGTTTGGCGCCGCACGTTGGTTTGACGTGTTGTGCCTCGCTGTTTTGGCCAATTTCGTGGCAAGCAGAGCGGTGCCTTTTTTGCACTTATATTTATAGCATTTCCCTAGTCGCGGTGGCTTCGCAGCGCAATGGCGAACTCCAAACCTCAAAAGAGGTACTTTCGAGTGTTCCTGAAATCCTACATGTTAGAATTCCCGTGCTTCGTGCCGTCAAAGAAGGGAGAGAAGTTTGCATTCTGTCACACGTGCACGTGTGATGTCAGCGTTTCGCGCGGTGGCAAGGCTGACATTAAGTTGCACATCGCTTCGCATAAACACCAGAGATAAGTGCCTGCCTCTAAAAACTTCCCCCGCGGCTGCGGGAGTTTTACGAATTTGAAAGTCCACAGGTTGGCAAGTATGGTGTTTGCATTGCCAGTTTCTGGCTGGTGCGCACAGTTCAGGTGGTCATTCTCCTCCGGCAAGCACCGAAACCTTTCCGGCGATTTTCTCGCCCAAGCGGCCAGGCAGGCGGGCGCCAGACTGTATCCGGTGTCATCACCTCCGAAATGGGAGGGGTCAGTGAGAAAAACTAAGCAAAAGAACAATTCTGATCCGAAGTCTCTATGTGGCAATTTGAGTTGGTTGGTTCAAGGTCGTAGACAAGCGCCGAAAAAGGGACAGGGACAAAAAGTTGACGTAAATACTGGCCCCGAGTTGCACCAGTGTTTACGTCAGCTTGTCCCTGTCTTTGATGGGAAGTCACATGAGCAGCCGATACTCGAGCCAGTCCAAGCCATTGGGACACGGGTGACGCGGCAGTAGCAGCCTCGCTCGCGGTGTCTTGCGGTCAAGCGCCGAAGTAAACTGCCACCGTCTGGCGTTCCATGTTCAGTTGCTGAGGGTCACGTAATGTACCGCCGGCACGTTTGTGGTTGTCGGTACCACCGGCTCGGTCTTGCCGGCAATTGACCACCCGAATTTGCCATTAGTGTGGACACTTGGAGAGAGTGCAGTGACATACAGTAGGTTCGCAACAGTTCAAACTCGGATATGCCATACTTCTGGTTAGTTTGAACTAAATTTAAAAATTTCGGTTGTTTTACTCTGTTTCATGCAATTTTTTAATCAAATTTCATAAGCCATTTAATTATAACGGCGTTTTCATGCATTTCAGTATTTTTTTTCTCGCTGCCCACATTGAGTGCTTCTGTCCAAGCATCGGTGCCTTGCGCAGAACCAGCACCTGCGAAGCTTGTATCTGCGGGTGTTGCTTTTCCGCAGTGCTCCGGTGCTCGTTAAGAAGCACGCTCAATGGGGCTAAAGCAGGGGACGCATGAGCAATGAAAGTGCAGCAGTTTCAATAGCAACATGCACGAACGCTGTGACGGGGCGCCGTGCCATAGCTACGGCGTGCGCGCAAGTTGCCATGTAAATTGCAGTGCAGCGCCTGTTTTTACCGCTCGTGCGTGCCCTACCTGACAGTCCACAACAGACACCTTTTTTGCTAGATGAACAAACTTAATTTTGTTTTAAGGTGTCACGTGCTGTCTAAACAGTCCACGATAAACATTTTTGAGGGGTCAAATAACTTGTGTTATGTTTCACCGATGTTTTATGCATGGCATACCTGCTTATGATTATAGGCCCATGTGGAGGAAATCATAAAATATTTGCATTGTATGTCTAGCCATTCATGCACCAAATTGTAATGTTATCTTGCATCGTATTTAAATGAATTTATGATAACTCGAGAGAAATTCGGGGCTTCCTGGAGCGTGAAATAATGATTCTACTGTAGCTTCCAAGGTGCCCGATTGTGTGAATGGCATGGCAGTGACTAGGAATGCAGGTGCCTCTTCTTTCCTTTTGGTAAATTGCCGCTTCTCGTTGCACATTTTTTCCTCCTGCTTCAAAAATGCATTGCTTGTGCATGTCATTGGAGTGATCCGTCAGGCAGGGCCTTTTAATGCAGCAGACAACAAGCAGGAACGTTTGAGAGAGCAGACGACAGTTCAAATGATGAGGCGCCCGTTTGGACTTCAAGACTCGCTGAACGTAGTCCGCAGGTGGTCCGTACAGCTTAGCGGTTTGCCCGCGTTCATGTTTTCGGCTTCACGACTTCTCCTGGGCTAGCACAACTGCACTGTTTGTGTATGCTAGCTGGACACATTCTTTGTCTGGTCTTTGTCAGCGTAGCTGAGCTGGTGTAAATATGGCTTTGTAAACAAGCTGTTAAGGTTGGCTTGCACTGCTTACGGACGAGTGACAGCTCTCGGGATCTGTTCCGACAAGTGAACACGCCAGTGCCGTCCTTTGAGTAGCTGCGGAATGCTTGCCGTTTGCATAAAGTTACATTTTTTTTTTATTCATGCACCATTTTTTCTCACTTGGCTCGAAAATCTTTTGGAGATGTTACGAACGACCATATCCCATTGGTATTAACATACATATGACGTTGCAAATACCACAAAACCTTCGCTCTAGTGAATTGCAGCTCTGGAGCTGCTTCCTTAATCGCGCCAGCGTGCCAGTGCATCTAGCCGCCCCGTTTACCCGCTCTGTGTAGCTCGGTCGGTGTGGTGTCTGGCTGGGAATGGCTTGTTCCTTGTTCCATCCCCATCCGAGAGTACTCTTTCATTTGTGTTTTAATAACGGGCCTATACGCTTCATACAAGTTCAACCTACGTGGAACAGTCGAGAGTTTGAGCAGTTCTAAAATGGAGTATAAACAAAATCTGCCTTAGAAATATGGAGCCCTACTTAGACCTACACCGTTTTGGTGCTGCCTGCCTTCCCAAGTACTAGCACGCTTACCGCCGAATGCACAAATCTTGCTCCAATCTAGGTACCCCTTCACTTCCTCGAGGAAAGCGAGAGGGTGAATAAGCAGCCTAGGTCGCCTATTCGTCCTTGCGATTGGCCGGCGCAGGCCCTCGCGCCTGCCTCGAGGAAGTGGAGGGGCACCTCGATTGGGGCGAGGGTTGTGATTTCGGCGCTTAGTTCAGTGAACGTCCCATGGATGTCCTAACGTTCTGGGGATTTCCTCCATAGGACATCCCCAAAACATTAAGACGTCCTAAGGAATCGCAGAACAAAGTGTGCTGCTAGAGTTCTTGTCGCTCACACCGCCTTTTGTTTTTCCTCCACACCAGGTTTCACTACGTCGCGAATATGAAGCCTGCGTGCACGCTGCCCTTGTAGCGGATGACTCCGCGTCACCACCACTGCCCTTCAAACTCAATACGAACAAGTTTTTTTAATTGCATGTGGGACAATGCATGCTGGACTGCATGTGCCGCTCAACCTCAACACGAATAAGTTTTTTTTAATTGCCTGTGGGACTGCATGTGTACATCGATGGTCGAAGTGTGCAATCTCATGTCTTGTGCCATTGTGAAAAGAAAGTCGCCACTCCCGTTGCAAGATTTTAAATGAAACTCATTTTTTGAATTGGGGCGGGGAGGGGGGGGGGGGGGGGACTATGGGGGAAACTGTTGGCTTGGCTGCCAGGCGCAGTAACGAGCGAGTTAGTGCAGTTTTTCTACCAGAGACCTGCAACATCTCGGAGCAGCACGGCGAACGTTTTTTGGCTCGCTTGAGATTGATCCTGGTGGCTTGTAGCCTTGTCTGCAGTTCGCATTAAAATGAGCAAGCATAGAGCGCATCTCGCTGCTTTTACTCGCCCCCCCCCCCCCCCCCCCCCCCCCCCCCCCAACTTCAGTTTTTAATTTTCATGGTCTGTCTCTGACATACTCATTTACAGGGCAGATATGATTCGGATGCATCATTCAGAGACATTTCCACTGTGTATGAAAGGGTGCTATTTTTACCCAATCGCCACATCCTTACTTTTTTTATTTTAACAAACTGACTCCACTTTTAAGCCCTGTACATAAGTGTCGAACAAAGTATTCTTTTTAAGCCAGTATGTGTCCTGTCCAATAAATGTACTGAACCAGATTTCGTTGGTCTGCATTGGTTTGTTTTGAATGAATGCGATTGGTTCAGGAAAGTGTGCAAGTCTGTGGTTTTCGCGAGGCTTAGAAAATAGGTATGCTTTTAACTCTCAATTCGGACGAAGATGTTTGTACTCTGACATGGGGCTAAACTACCATTGTGCCGCAAACCCGTCTACGGCGGGAAATGCAAAATGTTTCCGGGCAACGTGAAAGTCATGCAGGTTGGGAACTCTTGGCGAGACCGCATCCCACAAGCACCTGAGAGAAGAGCAAAAAAAAAAAAAAAAACGAAGCAAAATTGTAAAAAAAAGTAACCATGAAAGAAAGTGTCATTTGAAGTCCCAAGCAAATTATGCGGAAACCCCTCTTGCCTCTTATTTAGTATAGTCATCTGCAAGGGGCTCATGAGCAGGACTCTTCGCCCTCTCGGTCTCTCAAAGAAATTGGTATTTGTGGGTCGTAACTCCATTGAGACTTGTTATTGACTTGTCACCCTTCGGGCATGCATCTAGTGTAAATCTTTCCCTGTTTTCGAAAAACAATATTTCAATATAATGCCTTGAAGTAGTAACGTGTGTTGTGGTCACTCGTAGGCTGGATCGCGTATTGGCAGCCAGACGGTGACAGCACCGGCAGCCATTGCTTGACACAAGGCAAAACTTTGAAGCTTGTCTGAAGTGTCTTGTAAAGCAACTTTAAGGTTTTCCAGGAATGATAAGACAGAATCTGCCGGTGTGAGTAACTCTTCAGAAAATTACACAAACAACATGCCAATCTCTGTCATCTGCTCAACCTTTCCAAATCTTAGTCCTGCTTCAGATAACTCGACAGTGTATCATTGATCGTGTGCAGAGCAACAAGAACATAGTTTGATGGATGTCGGCGGTATTTATCAGATAGCGCCGGGTGCACTGCGCATGACTAGTGCCTTGTCATGCCAGGTACTATCGCGGACAATATGAGCTGAAACAGCGCTCCGGCCTGTGCACGGTACTACCTGCGTCGCCTGTCGCATCGCTCCCCAAACACGCGCCGCACCCTGAGGTTGAGATAAATTCTCACTGCGCTCACTGCGCCGCTGCGCTCTTCCGGCCGTCTGCTAAATAAAATATTCGCCAATAGAACCACGATCACGATGCGTTTGCCGTACAGCCCAGTGTTTCCAGCTAACATGCATTTCAGTGTCTTTCAAGAAAGCGCCGAAGTGTAAAATCCATTGTCACGCTCGTATCTTCTAGAGGAGCGCTGCCTGACGGAGCTGCCTTGGCCGCCTAAAGGTGCCGATCTGAATATCATCGAACACGTTTGGAGGCGCATCAAGGTAGCCATGTCACTGCGTCCCCTCTACCGCGCCACTGCCGACGAATTGTGGGAAGCGGTGAGACGTGAATGGGCTTCGGGCCAAGCCAGACTCCGAGGCCGCTCTGCATGATTCTTTAGCAGAGATGATGAGAGCCGTGGTCGCGGGTTAAGGGAGAATGACGCGGAATTAACTTCTCTCGTAAGTTGTACTGCGCCTCGGGACCCCCTCAACTGGACTTCTACCGGTTGGAACAAAGCTTGATGCTACGGTTGCGACACACTGGTGCTGTTAACCGGCGCATACTTAACTTCCCCGCCGACTATTAATCTTTTGTGTCTGACATTGTCCTCTGCGAATATTCTTGCGATGAAGTTTCAGGCTACTTCTCAGGACAAATATATGACTGTCGCACTTTATTAAAACTAGGAATTTATAAATGAAACAATGGTGTCTTGTCATCAACTTTTCTAGCTTGAAAGAAATACGTGGGCCCGGTAATAACGAAATAATATTTTTGAACATTTTCATACCAATCAAGGTTACCAAACCTTCGCATTGACATGTTACCGTTGTTTTTAAACAGCTGTGCTCAATGAAAAAGAAAAAGAAGGAAATACATTGGAGCCGGCCTTAATCCGATAAAAAGATTTTAGTCAATATTTTACGATGTCCTACTTTGTAGATGCACTTAATCAAATACAAACAACCTGCAACGTAATTTCAGGGGACTTTGAAAAACGATAATCGCAGCTGAAATTTAAGACAGCGCAACATTTTTTCTTTCCCAGTCAGCGTTTTTTTTCTCCTTAATTTTTAACAGGTATTACGACGGATGGACTGAGACAACCCAATCACATTTTCAATGTAGGCTGTTTCCTCCGGCATCCTGGTGGAGTGTAGTTGGAACGGCACTTGGTGGGAGACATAATGTTACTACAATTTAGTTTGGCTTAAGGGGGCGCACTGCCGGAAAATTGCAAATTTTTAGAAAAACAAATTACTTTTCCTATTTTTATGTATAGTGGTTCCAGAACTGAAAATTTTGATAGCAATGTCTGTCTGAATGTTACGGAAAATAAATAAAATATTTTTGGTAAGCCGACGATGTAAAATCATGTTTGTGAAATTTCCCTGTTTCCTATTTTCAAACTGCTGTAGCTTTGCACCGGTATACCCTCGAATGATGATCTTACCCTTGTTAGAAAGAGATTTTCTTCTACATCAGTACATTAAATATCTTTGTTTGAGAGTAAACTCTATTCGGGCACGAACACCATAGAAGTTCAGCTTTCACGTGGAAGAGGCTATGCATATGTCTAAGAACCGAAAAGCCTGTCCTGATTGAACACAAAACTGACTAAAACCAGCCTTTTGTTTATAGAAAGTCACGTGGGTTTGTCTGTTTTGTATTTTGATGATGCTTGCCCTACCCACTCTTGCTGATGTTGGTTTGTGTATTGCAAGCATACCGAATTCCTCACTCCTTTCACAATCCACATGCTGACAACAAAATGACACTCGAAGAAAGCATTGTCAGCTCAGACTCACTCAGCAAAACCGTGCAGGAGATTGGGTGAAACCGGAAGGCACCACTCTGCACTTAGTGCCTTTTGGTTGCCACCACCACCAGTAAAATCAAATGAAGTGGTGTGAAAACTTCAAACAGGTTTTTCTCAATTTCCCTTTTTTTGCAGCAACTTTCGTTTTAGAAAATCTGTAATTTCAACGAATCACTAAATGTATTCTTCGCTGTGGATGTTTCGGAACTGAAATTTAATGAGGAATGAGGCTAGATATTTATTTTTTCTATTTAAATGAAGTTTTTATTGCCAAAAAGTAGAGCCTTGATGAAGAGAAAATGCCCCGTTATGGTGGAATGCTTTTCAAACTGACATTTTGCATAGAAAAAAGGCGGATTTTACGGTAACATATAGATAGCCGCACCCGCTATATGTTGCATGGGGGAAGATGGAAATGGAAATCGGCTCAACCAATAGACCGTTCCATTAGGGTCATAGCAGAGAGGGTAAAAAAAAGAAAAAAATGCCCTCCCCCTCTCGCCCGGATGTCGTCTGCTCCGCTGAGTGGGCAGCACCTAGATCCGGCTGGCGTAGAAACTCTGTTTAAAATCGCGTCATTTTGGACATTTCAAGCGCGGATGCGCAGATTTTGGTATGCCAGTTATCGTGCATTACTATGCTAGATAAAAAAGACTAACAGAGTCCAATTGCGCTGTTATCTGCGTGCAAATAAAAAAAAATAGGGAAAACTGTGTCAGACTGGCCGGTCTCGCCGGCGAAAAGTGAATCCAGTGGCTGTACCTCTTTTACTAGACAAAGTTCGTGCTGGTGTAGGCCTTTAGTGACCATGAGTGGATGTCTGAAATAAATAAAAACGTGCTCTCTTGCCGCAATACACGCAGTAGTTGAGGGTAGTACTGCCGGCTGACTCAACTGATATTTAAGTAACGGAAAAAAGATATGTCAGTTGATCATTTACCGAAGTAGAACAACAAATAGCTCTAGGCGGATATTGGAGTAGCCATAACTATTCTAAGAACGCAAACCACCTCACAACGGCAGCCACGAGCGAGAGTTCGATGTTCCGTACAGCCCGCCGATACAGCCCAAAGGTGGAAAATGGCAACCTCTCGTTTTGTCGTCTGCTAGCGGAGTCGGGCTCGTGCCCTCTCTCTCCTTTTACTCCACCGAACCCGCTGAATTTCCCGGATGTGTGGAGAGGGCGCTGCTGTCGAACAAAATGGTGCCGCCCAGAGAGCGCTAAATAGAATGGTCTATACCTTCTAGAAATATGGCCGTAGCGCTGCGACTGGGTACCTCACAATGTCGGAGGAAGGAAGGCCATGGCGCAACAACGTGAGAAAAAATCTGCTGTTGACGCATATCGAAGGGAAAAAAAATGTATATTTTCGAGCGGAACGAAATGTTCGTGCACGTTTATCCGACATTAATACACGTTTTAAAAGCGCAGTCTTGTACAATTTATTATATATAAATAATATAAACATAATATACAACGCGTTACCAAGGTTTATAGTACCAAATTTATATTTATGATTATCCCTGTAACCGCGGGACTACGCGCAGTCCCGCAGCTCCCCACATTTAAGGCGCATTCACTTAGTGAAAAGACGCGCGTCGTGGAGTAAGCTTTTTGCTTATTTTTGTATTGAAAAAAGTCGCGCGCCGA